AAAACGTTGGGCAATCAGAAGGGAACTTAGTTTCAAAAGATTAATGTGTTACCTCCATTAGAAAATGCAATTTTTTTTTTCACTTTGGGTTGAATTAATTCCTTGACATGGATACAAATCATACCTGTGTCTTGCACAAATATGTACGTACAGACATATATATTTGCTATGTTATCTTCCCCTAGTTAAAGTCACACGCCGCAGTTGCACCGTAACATGTTCTGTTGGGTTCCCTATTAACTTATTTTGCGTCCTGAAGATTCTTTGTTGATAAATTCTACTGCTCACCTGAGAAAGGTACTTTGGCTGCCGCAAGTCGGTTACAGTTTCTAACATTATTTAAATATAACCATGAACATACACATCACTCGCTGCAATCGTTTCTTTGGGAAAGTCTTTGATCAATGTCACCCAAGTTCTGGTACCAAAGTGAAGCTTTTGACGTTTGCTTTGCCCTGCAGGGGCTTCTCCCTAAGCCTGCAGTGAGATGCTGTAGAGGCTAAGTTCTTATGCACCTGGTACTGGGGAATGAAGTGTCATCTGCGGTGCTGCAGATAAGAAGTGTGGTGTGGTCAGGGTGCCTATCACTGGGTACAGAGGTGGAGTGGCCCTGGGCTCCCTTCCTGTCGAACCACCTCCGCTTTCCCTCCTTGAGGCTGAGTCTTTTGCTTGTGTTGCTATGATTACATCATCCTTTCTGTGTCACCTATATGCATGCATCGCAGTCACACTTACACCCTGGTCACCAGGAAACAGCATCCTGGAGGCTCAGTCCCTTGCAGTGGTAACACGTCGTGCTCCTGTTCACTCCTGTGCCCTTGGGAGGCACATGTAAGTTACTCACTGTTGAAGACTGGCTATTTCTATTGAGTCTCAGGGCTCTGTAGAGAGAGATCCCACCACTGTGAGCCTTACTTCTCTGCCACTGGAGAGAGTCTGGAACACCACATTCTCTGAACAGTAGGATTTCATCAGTTACGATCCTGTTCCAAGTGACAGAACACCATCTATATCTGTCTTAAGCAGTAGAGGAAATGAATTGACTTGAATATCTTAAAATACTCTGGGGCACCTGGCTGCACATCTGGCTGGCTTCAGGGGCTCCAAGTGTTATGCAGGAACAATGTCTTGGGCTCAGTCTCTCTGAATCAACTCTGATCATTGCAAGTGGCTGCCTCTGATTATGTCCTTCTCGGTTCATGGCCAGAAGAGAAAAGAGATTGCATTCTGTGTACAGCAGGTTATCAGGGGTCTGTCCCGGCCAGCTCCAAGGTCACACAGACACATAGACAGAGACAAAGGCACATGTACTCTCTCCCTCTCTCTCTTTCTCTCCACCCATGTCCTAAGAGAGGTAAATTGATAGCAGCCCTGTCAAGAGCTGAGAAGTACCTAAGGTTTTTTTTTCCTATCTCAGATTAACCACTTGGCCTGGCACTGTTTCGTGGATGCTGAGAGGAGATGAGATTCTGGGATCAGACTATGTCAGTGGTCCCCAAGATAACTCCAGGCCCTAAGAGCCGCTAGAAGGACTCACAGGATACAAAATGGAGGTGGGCTCACAGCTATGTGTTATTCTGGTGAAAGAGAAAGTAAAATCAACAAAGGGAGGAGGCACCTTGAAATGTGGGGGGTGGCACACACGTCCCAGCAAAATCATGCAGGACACACTTAATTCTTCCCGCAGTGAGCTGTGACAGCACGTGTGAGATGTGGCCACCCAGGAAGCTCATGAGAGCCTCGTACCGAGCGTTACTACTGGAGGCTGATCGTGCAGGCAGCCTCTGCCTGGCACATGCTGCATGTCCAGTGTCCCACAGGGAAAGCAGGTAGTCAGCATGCATCACACTGGCTGAACAGTTCAGGCAGAGGGAGTCATTCTGCTCAATTCTGGAGATGATGGAAACCTTCCCAGATTCCAGGTTCCCATTGCCAACCAAGAGCTGACCTTTTAGGCAGACCTTTCTGAGCGTGCCAGCCAGACCTGCCGCCTGAGTTCCTATCTGAACTCTCTCCAAGGATTCATTGCAAGCCAGCTTGAGCTTCCCATCTTCAAATCATTTGCTCATACTCCTCGAGACCCAGGAGGGTAGATGCTGTCACACACTGGGCTTCTGGGAAGTGACGGGATGACAAGGGCTCAAATCATCCTGTGAGGCGTTATTGGGAGCTGAGGGAAACAGGAAGTAGGCCTCGTCGGTGGAGTGGATCATGGGCCCTGAGTCTGGGGACTATTCCTGGCCCCTAGCTCCTTCCTTTTGCTTGGCCTCTCTCTGTGTTCCTCTGCTTCCTGGCTTGTAGGAAGTGAGCAGCCTTGCTCTACCACGACCTTCCGTGGTGATGTTCTGCCTCACCTCTGGTCCACAGCAAGGGAACCAGCCAGCTATGGGCTGAAACCTCCGAAACCACCAGCCAGAATAAACCTTTCTCCTCCAAGTTGATTTTCTCAGGTACCTGGTCACAGCAGTGAAAAGCAAACACACGAGGATCCCTGTTATAATGAGCCCTAAGCAGACCCGACAATAAAGGTAATAAAGAGATCATCTTTAGTATACCGGACAGCAAGCAAACATCCCTCTTCTCCCAAGGGGGGCTCTAGTGCCATCTTCCCAGGCTGCTGGCCACTAATGTCCCGGACAAGATGGTCCCAAACCAAGTGCCAGGTACTGTGCTCAGAAGATAAATGGAAGTGAAAGACACCCATGGAGAACCATCTTCCAGCAAGATCCCCCGGCAAAGGTCATGAATACTGCTGGAAGGGGGGATTGTTGCAGGGAAGCAAATAATACATTTTTATTGCAGTGGGAAAAAAGTTTTACACAAGAACAATAACAGCAGCACATATTTATTAAATGATTACTACTAAAGCACTGTTCTAATGTCTTGTGTGCCTTAACTCAGTCCTTTCTAAGTGACAGACTCTACTAATTACTAAACGGGTCTTTCTTTTTGAGATGACTTCAAACCAGAGACCACTATCAACAAAACCATTGGGTACAAAATGATGAAAACTGCTGCTCTCAGCTAAATGTGTTTCCTTCCCTTTTTTTTTTGAAAGAGAGTGGTGAGTTTCTACTGATTAATTTAATAGGATGATTACTTCTGAAAACAGTCTGAGAGAACTAAGCACATATTTTCTGCTTTTGGTGACCTTTTGCTAAATATTAGTGTCCAACATGCAGAATTTTGTACCATTTCCTCCCAAGGAAGGAAGCGGAAATGGTGGGTGAGCCGGTGGTAGGGGTGGCGGTAGCAACTTAACCACAAGTTAAATTCATCAGGAGGTTGGAAGTGGTGATAGCCCCACTTCAGAGATCTTCCAATGTGACAAGCGCAGGGGAGTCATGTTTCTGGTTTGGTAGCAACATGTGTTTTATAAAGCATCATTTTTAATGTTTATATTTTCCCCAACTGTGTTGCTTCATACTCCCAAAGTTCCCATTTGTTTTCTTGTTTTGTTTGTTTTGCTTTTGTTTTTTTATTTTTTTCCGGTACCAGGAATAGAACTCAAGACCTCGCACTTGCCAGGCAGGCGCTGTACTGCTGAGCTAAATCCCCAGCCCCCAAAGTTCCCCTTTGTGTATTCACCCATAATGAGGTGCATGGATGCTCTTTGCTAATACTGGTTGCCTTTTATTCATTCCCTTAAGAGATTTGTATTGTGCATGTCCTATGCCTTTGCTGATGGCTAAAGATGTTGCAGGCAACAAAGCAGAGACTGCAACACGGTGCTTTTGTTCCGGCTGAGGGAAATGGGCACCAGGCCAGGCCACACACCCGAGGCTCCCTCCATGAATGTCACACGCACTGGGGTCTCAAAACATTCAGTAATCAAAAATAAACGGTTTGCTGATTTTCTTTTGTACTTCTGGGGATCAAGCCCTGGGCCTTGTGCATGATAAGCAAGCACTTCACCACTGAGCTACAGCCCCTGCCCTGAAGCAATATTTTAAGGAGCCAATGTAAACATCCACTGTGAACAAGATATCAAAATTTAAATGTGTAACATGACATTGAGAGGATACAGGTGATAAAGAAAGGAGGGCGAGGTTGACGGATGGGTGCTCTTTTACAGGGGGAATCTAGGGACAATCGCTCTGGGAAGGAGACCCTAGAGCAGAGCCTGAGTCCCTCAAGGGAGCTAGCCGGGCAGACACCTGGGGAAAGAGATGATTCCGCCTGAGAGAGGGACCAGCAGGCTCTTTGCCGGAGATAGGAGAGGAGTGGCCCTGTACGGCTAGGGCCTAGTAAGGGAAAGAAAAGTAGTCACCATGAACTTAGGATGGTAGCTGGGGTCAATTTATGTAAGGCCTTGTATATTCTTAGAATACTTCCCTAAAACTGAAAATTAAAGTAATTTTTGTCTTTAGTTCTCTTTGTAATCACCTATTTCCACTACAGTTTACTTGAACCTTCGTTGATGGAGATTCAAATAAACCCAGGACTTCTCACTTGCTAAGCAACAACTCCACCTCCCACTGAATACAAATATACATAAACCATATGCAATATTTTGTATGTGCTAATAGAGAGTTTTCAGAAAATAAGTCTAAAGTATTCATTAAATTCTGAGACAGATCTGAGGACTCCAAAATGGTTAAGAAACACCAGTTTGTGGTCGGGGATGTGGCTCAATGGCAGAGTGCTTACCTAGCGTGCATGAGGCCCTAGGTTTGACCCCTAGCACTGCCCAATCAAAAAGAAACACTGGTTTTACTAGAGCTTGATTTTTCCTTTTTATGACTTCATTCTTCTCTTCAAATCCACAGCTCAGTGGGAACAAAGTTGTCCCCAAGGACCCCTTGTTAGGAAATCTCCTTTACTGCTTCCTTCAACAAAGGTAGTGGGAGAGGAAGCAGACGACAATGACACCTGTTTCCCGGGCGGCTGGGAGAATCAAATGGCTCAAAGCAGCAAAGTGCACACAGCCAGCGCCTGACATGGCAGCCAGCTCTCAACCCCAAGTAGTTACTATTATGATAACAACAAGCCACACACAAGTTTTATCTGGGTATAATGTCACGGAAGCACAAAGTAGGTTGGAGATCAGTATTCTAAAAGAGGAAACCAAAGAGGAAGAGAGACCTCCAGCTGCGTGAGCTGCTTGAGTGCAGCTGACACTGCAGTTTGAGCTTTCTGAGCAGACACTGAATGGACACTGGGGTCATTCTAGGGATACAACTTTATGCTGTTTGAAGCTGTGCTAGATTTGGGCCAAGCTCTTGGTGCAAAGGTTTAGAAGGAGTGTTTATGTGCCAAGAGCTCGGCAGTTCTCTCAGTTTTAAGGTCAGCTCAAAATGAGCTTGTACCTTCCTTTGACGTAGTGAGGATATGTATCTGGAGTATACCAAACAGACTCTTCTAGGCCCCGAGGTACAATAGGGAATAACATACAGTCCCTAACCTTGCTGGGATTACAGTTCTTGTGATTGTCACTAAGTCATAAACCGATTTAATTTCTACCAGTCACAGCAACAGACATCCCAAGCCCACAGACTTGAAATTTTCACATCCACACATTATTCTGGGCATCTGTTGCTAAGAGGGGATGACTTTCAACGCGGTAATTTCCAATCATAAAGGCCTGTTGTATGGGCAGAGGAAAGGCTTTCCCCTAATGTTTGTAATACTTAAAGGAGCCTGACACAATCATGGATTTTGCAAGGGACTTCTGTTCTCATTACAGATAATACAGCATGTCTCTTGGAAACCGAATGGAGAGAACAATGTACTCTTTACAAGAACCAATGTACTGTATAATGTTAATGATATCTGCTTCTTAACACATAAAAATTATTTTAGCTTGGGCTTCAGGAGGCTGTGGAAGAAATTTCAGACCTGTGCCATCCGCAATGTCAGAAAGTCGCGGGCCTTAGATGGAAGCTCGTACTCCCCTGGAATCTGCTATGACCTCACAAGGTTATCGTGGATGCTGAGGTCACAGATGGCGCTCAGCACAAATCAAAACCTACATCTGAGCAGAAATGATGGCTTCACAGGGTGCGCCAGATCTGCTGTCACACAAGGCTAGGGTGGGATGGGGCCAAAGAGCGGTGAGTACTCCTGAGTCATTTCCACCCTCGCTGCCCTCCGGAGCGTGGGCGAGGGATTCCTAGTGTACAACAGGAACCCAAGGACCTACTGGAAAGAGGAAGAAGGGATGCGCTGTGATGCTGTGACTGGGAGTGGCGGGCGAGCTCCTCAAGCCCCAGCGCAGGAAGACCTGCCAGCTGTGCGCCGTCCTGGACACTGGCCACGCCCCGTAGCTGGCGACGCTCTCCATGGCAACCGGCGCTTGGCAACGGCGTCGCCCTGCCTCTCGCAACAGCCACGCCCCACACGCCCGTTTACCGGAGGTGACGTCATTTTGGCGCACCGGAAGTGGCGGTAGCTCTCGCTACCCACCCCGGAAGTGGTGACTTCAAGGTTTGGGGCTGGTTTTGACTCCGGTGTTACGATGGGTTGCGACGGGGGAACGATCCCCAAGAGGCATGAACTGGTGAAGGGGCCGAAGAAGGTTGAGAAGGTCAGCAGTGTCCAAAGGTGGAGGGAATGTGGGTGGGTGACCCCAGGGAGGGACGGGAGGTAAGGAGGAGCCAACGGAGTTGTATACCTGGGTGGCTGCGTACTTTTCCCTGGCCACAGGACTCCGAACTAACAATAATATTGACAGCTGGCGTTTTTTTGAGTGCTTAAAAATGTTTCCACTGACTGGGTAATGTGGGATATTTGTGTAATTCTTGAAGCAGCCCCGTGGCAGCGTACCGTTACCTCCATTTCAGACATGGAATTTGAGGCTCAAAGGAGAGAGTTACAGAGCTAGTTAAGTGGCAGAGTCGGGATTTGAAGCTTGTCTTCGGTTAGTAACGATGGTAAAAGTAGCTGTTGGGCTGGGGATATAGCTCAGTGGCATAAGCGCCTGCCTGGCAAGCGCAAGGTCATGAGTTCGATCCCTGGTACAGCAAAAAAAAAAAAAAATAGTTGTTAGTTATTGAGCTTTTTATAAATTAATTTCACTTCCTCAGAGGTCTTCCCAACGACCCCGGACACCATGAAATCAGACCTTCGGCTTATAAACTGTTTTGCCACCCTGCACACTGTTTTCATGGTTAAAACGATAAGCTCCTGATGGGGGAGACAGAACCCCTTTTCCCTCCTACAACTAGCAGCATTTCTGGCAAAGTAAATATTTTAAATAAAAGAAGGAGTGAATAATTTCCAGTTCTCACAAGTAATGGGGGAAATTATGCATTGTATTTTTCATGCTAATGGCAGAGAAATGGGAATCCAAGGAAGTAAACTTTCGTGGCCAGAGTCACGGCGTTGTCCAGGACAGGGGGATCTCGCAGTCCTCCTGCCCCCGCCTCCCAGAGCTGTGGGATGATGGGCATGCAGCATCATACCTGGCTATGGTGAGGGCCTTCTTCCTGTATACTGCAGGCTGAGAGGGGGCCTGAGGCATCACCTGGTAAGAAGTCTACAGGTAAGAAAGCCAAGCCGGCCTTTGGTACAGACGCACTTTGAGGTAATCCACTGATCAGTATCAGCGAATTAATCTGAGTGGATTAAGTCTGCCCACGAGGGCGGCACCCTCATGACCCAAGCTCTCTGAGAGGTCCTGCCTGATCCCACCTCTCAGTGCCTCTCACCGGGGGCTCCACTGTGAGCTGCAACAGCAGGAAGGGTTTGATATGCCGCCGGAGGGAGATGCGGGAACAGTGACAGCCTTTGGACTGAATTGGTGATTTTGTGAAGAATTACAGAGCCTTAGGGGCCAGGGGTTTAGCTCAGCAGCACAGCGCCTGCGTGGCAAGTGCAAGGTCCTGAGTTCCTTTCCTGCCCTCCCCCAAAAAAGAATTACATAGCTTTAGTTCTGAATTTAAAAAACAATCTTTTTAGTTCTTGGTTTTTAAATTCTGCCATAACGTGGGAGCCCTTCCCCATACTAGAAATGGATACGCACTGCTTTGTTTTGGTGTGGCCTTCCCAATGGGCTGTTAATATTTGTACATAGCTCGCATAAAGGGCTTAGTGATGTGATATAAACTTTTTTTGTATCATCTTTAGAGGGATCTTTATGTGGCTTAGTATTAGTTACTTAGGACTTTCAAATTTCCAACATCCAGTGTCACTACCTTTGATTTAAAAACTAAAAAACATCACTGGTAGGTATTATTAAGTGAACTTTTGTATGCAGACCCGTGGACCACATGTCTTTCCGAGGTACAATTAATTGAAAGAGTGTTTGTTTTCTTTTACTAGGTTGACAAAGATGCTGAACTAGTGGCCCAGTGGAACTACTGTACCCTAAGTCAGGAAATACTAAGACGCCCAATAGTTGCCTGTGAACTTGGCAGGTATGGTTCTGTACTTAATCAGGACAAGTTTATTCAGTGATTTTGCAGATGATTCTAATGTGTAAATACAGTTTTTGGGGGTTCTTTTGGGTCCCTGGGATCAAACTCAGGACCTTGTGCTTGCCCTGCAGACACTTGTACCCCTGGGCTATATCCCCAGCCCTATAAATACAATTCTTGAGTCATCAAATACGAATTATTCCAGGCCAGTCTGTGAGGCGTAGGATAGTATTCCTCATCTCTGAACCTAATTCTGTATTCTGGTCAGTTTGGTTTATTTCATCACTGGTTTGAAAATGCACGGGCCACAGGAGGGCGGGGAGGTGAGGGGGTGAGGATGCGTCCACACCAGCGGCCTGCGGTGAAAGATGCACTGTGTTCGCAAACAGGCTAAACCAGTGTTTTGTAAAAGGAGAACTCAAGGGCCAGGTGAGAGCCCTGCAGCGTGAGGGAGGCCAGTGAGGTGCAGGGCAGAGTGGGGAGGAGAGGGACCCAGGTCCCGGGTGAGGGGAGCCGCCGCTTAGTGCCAGCCAGTTCTTGCAGTTTCAGAGCCTGGGCCCTGTGATTCTAAATCTTCTGGGTTTTTTATTTCTGAAGAAAAATTGAAAATAGGAGATTTTACAGTAAATTTCCCAGTTTTTAAAGTCCTTGTTCAGGTTGTGTCAGTCTTAGATGTTCCGTCTCGCTGCCCCCCGTTTAAGCCACTCGCTCTCCTCGTGCGCCCTGGCGGTGCCTGAGCAGGGTGAGGGGGTCTTTCAGGGGTCCGGGGCACTGCTTGTGTTGGCTGTGCGTGTACGCTGTGTCGTGTTCTAGCTGCCTCTTACGGTATTTGGAAGTGGGCCGTGGCCTTGTAATGTGCCTGCTTCTCATTCCTGCAGACTTTATAACAAAGATGCTGTCATCGAGTTTCTGCTGGACAAATCTGCCGAGAAAGCGCTGGGGAAGGCCACATCTCACATCAGAAGCATGAAGGTAAGACGGGGGCCTCTGAACTGCAGCTGTTCTGTCAGCATACATAGCAAACTGGAGCCGCTCAGCGAGGCGCCGTCAGCAGGGAGAGAAAGAGTTCTTTTCTGCATGGAACTGAGCATCCTCCAGTGTCGGGTTGGTTGGGTTTTGGGGGTGCTGGATCAAACCCAGGGCCTGTGCGTGCTACACGTTCTCCACCACTGAGCTGTGTCCCAGCCCTGTGCCCTGCTTGCTGAAAGGAGAAGATGCTCTTTCCTAAATGGCAAAGTACCTTAAAATAGATTTACCTAAATTATAGATGGTCGCTGGCTTGTGACGGTTCAACTTTAAAATGTTCTTGTTGTGATGCTGGTACAAAAGTGGTAGACCTTCAGTAGCAGTCATACTTCTTGGATTTTGACCCTTTCCCACTGCTAGAGATTCAGGGCAGTGGCATGAGTGGTATCAGGTCACAGCCCCTGGGCAGCTCTGTTCCCCAAAGACGCAGCCGATGCTCCCCATGCACCGTGCCACCGCCGAGACATGGGGGTGGCACGTAGGTGTTACCTGCACTTCATCTTAGCACGGGCAGGGCTGGTTAACTCCGCACAAGTGGAAGCGCATCTGTCCTTGCTAGTCAGTGGATTTTTAAAATATTTCCTATACAGTTTGAGTTTTAATTTTATGCTCACATTTCTTGATGGCCAAGGCCAAGGGGTTAGGAAAAAAGGATCCCCTGGGAAGGGAATAAAAACACAGTTTCTGTTTTGATTTGGGTGGTTATTGAGGCAAAGAACCATCCATCTGCTGAATGAATTTGTAACACATCGATGGTTTCTCACAGAGCGTGACAGAACTGAAGCTTTCTGATAATCCTGCCTGGGAAGGGGACAGAGGCAACACGAAAGGCGACAAGCACGACGACCTCCAGCGGGCTCGCTTCATCTGCCCAGTCGTGGGCTTGGAGATGAACGGGCGGCACAGGTTGGTAGCTGACGTGGGGCCCATGGAGCAGCGCTGGTCTTTGTCAGGGTTTGTGTCTGAGGCCCGGGCTGTGCCAGGGAGTAAATCCTTCTGCAGCTGCCGCCTGGGCCTGCCTGCCCCACCTGCCCAGTGTGTGGGCTGTGGCTCTCTGTTCTTCAGTCAGAAAACCTAAGTGGGGACAGAAAGCAAGAAGCAGATGTTTCCCATGAAACCATTCCCGCTCCTTAGGACAGTTACAATCTACACAGTAGCCGGCAGCGTCACCCTCTGCGGCCAGTCCCTCAGCTGCAATCCCAGCCAGTGACTGTCCCTTGCTTTGAGTTTGCACCTAACACATCCTCTGACTAGAGCATTCAGAATCTTAGGGTTGAGATTTATTATAGCAAATGTACGGGGGCAGTATATGTTCCTCTTTAAAAAATAAGCTGGGAACGGTACACACCAATAATCCCAGTGCTCCAGAGGCTGAGGCAGAAGCATCACCACCAGTTCGAGACCAGCCTGGACAACATAGCAAGATTGTCACAAAAAGAACAAACAAAACAACAATAAAAAAATAGAAATATTAGATGAGCCATATCATGTATATATCATATATACAGCATATATAGCATATATATGATATATATATCATATATATGCTGTATATATGATATATGATGCAAACCTTCAGCTGAGCGTGGTGATACGTTTTGTAATCCCAGCACTCGGAAGGCTGAGGCAGGAGGATTACTGGATGACTGCAAGTTCGAAGCCAGTGTGGACTACACAGTGAGTTCAAGACCAACACAAACTAAATAGCGAGACCCTGTCTCAGGAAAAAAGATGCAGATCTTTCCCCTGCCATTTAGAAGTACCTTCAACAACAAGTGGTCCAGGCTGGAATCTTGAGTCTAACACATGACGGATGGAAAGACAGCATTTCTACCATTTTATTCCGGAGAAGAGAAAGCATCTCAGGCGAAACATCGCGCTGTGCTTTCGGCAGCCCTGGGTAGTTGTGAGCACTCAGGAGAGCTGTGTACAGGTGGCAGCGGACAGCTTCTCCCGTGCCAGCCCTTGTGTTGAGCGCGGCAGACTACATCAGACACCGTGTGTTCTGACACGGGCAGCTCGCTTGCTCGTGGATCTGGAGCGAAGCAAAGCATAAGGCCTGGGGACCTTTGACTTTTCAAGATTTTCCTCTTCAAATAGTTTGAATTTAAACCCTTTAAGGCTTCAGACTTTGTGTAGATTCACAGATTTTGCTTCCAAGAACATATAGATATTCTTAGCTCCAGACTGCTACGTGCCTCCCTTTTGAGGGCCCACACTCGTATCTCTTTGAGTGTACTTTTAAAATTCTGCCTAGGAAATCCTTTTATGCCTGAAAAAAATAATAAAGCATTTAGGGCTCACTCTTCAACCTCAGCTTTATATATCTGTATGTGTGTGTCTTGAAGTTAATGTCACATAACGTGAAATTGACCATTTAAAAGTGTACGCCGGATGGCACATAATACATTCACATTGTAATGCAGTCGCCACCTCTGTCCAGTTCCAAAACCACTTCTATGATCCTCAGAGAAAACCCCAGACCCTGCTCAGCAGTGGCTTCCGGCTCCCCACTTCCTGCCCCGGCAGCTACCCACCTGCTGTGTCTTGGTGGCTGTACCTGTCCAGATAATAGAGCACGAATAGAATTGTGCAGCATGCGACCTATTGGGTCTGCTTTCCCACTTCACCCCACAAGGGACCTTAGCCAAGAGCGAGCCAGCGACGGCCTGGGCGGGGGTCACCTGTGCTCTAGCTGTGGTCTCCCCACTTCCTGCCTTTTCTTGGGCTGCTTGATCTCTTCTCCTTTTTCTCTTCCCAGTTACTTGAATTCTGCCTGCTTTGTTTTTTTCCGTAATTGAATCTCTGCCACAGAAATTTTTTTTTTTGTATATTTAGTAAATTTTGGGTAATAAATATTTAAATATACAGAAAAACAGAAGTAAATATGTAGTGTAATAACAATATTGAGTCTTCATTTAAAAAATAATTTTCTAATTTACTAATAATTAGTAAGCATCCATAAAACAGGATTTCTTTTGGAGGGGTGTTCCTGAACAACATTTAATGAATCTACTGCAGTGGTATTAATTAGATTTTTGTTAGGGTGATCTGCATCTGCTGTAATCCGTGGGAAATTAGAGGAAGTTTGTACTGCGGTATTTTGAAGGGAGTATGTAAAATGTGCAACTCCTCCTGCTGCCCTGGTGCTTCCTCTGGTGATAGCATTACAGATCGGTGTTCAGCATCTTTTCCTGTACCACACGCACCAGCCTGTGCTTCCCCACCCTCTGCAAGCACACCCACAGACAGACATGTTCCAATTTTGGTACATGTGCTATATGTGGGGTCATTTTTTTTGGTACTGGGAACTCAGGACCTTGCACTTGCCAGGCAGGCACTGTGCCGCTGAGCTATATTCTCTTCCTTTTTTTTTTTTTTTAAAAAAAAACCAGGGTCTTGCTATGTGATGCAGGCTGGTCTTGACTCGCTATATAGCCCAGACTGGCCTTGAACTCACAGTGATCCTCATGCCTCAGCCTCTTGAGTGCTGGGATTAGAGTCAGGTGCCAACATACATAGCATACTGGCTCTGTTACATATTTTGAATCCTCTTTTTGTGTTTTATGTCTAATATGATCCTGGTTTCATAGCCTTGCATGCTGATTTACCTTTTTTTTCCAGTAGTAAGGATTCAACCCAGGGGCTTCACACTGACCTACATCCCTAGTCCTTTTGCTTTGTTATTTTTTTTATTTTTTTTTTTGGTTGGGGAGGTTTCCGGTACTGGGAACTCACGACCTTGCGCTTGCCAGGCAGGCGCTGTGCTGCTGAGCTAAATCCCCAACCCCTTTTGTTTTGTTTTTAATTTTGAGCTACAGTTTTGCTGAGCCTCCCAGGCTGGGCTCGAACTCATGATCCTTTTTCCCAAATACTGGGATTCCGGGCATGCGCCCCATGTCAGGCTTATTGTTTTTAGTAGCTGCATGGATATTCATAATTTATTTAACCATTTTCCTGTTGAGTATTTAGGTGGCTTCCTCCTTTTCCTAGTTATAAATGGTGCTGTGCTTTACAGCCTCAGGAATATACATCTGTGCTCTTGTGGGCAGATTTCTCCAGAAGAAATTTTGAAATGATCTCTTACTTGCCATTGCCAAATTATCCTCCTGAAATGTTATACCACCTAACAATAAATGTATTTGTGTCCTTCGTTTCCAGTTAGATACTTAAATTTGCTTTTAATTATTACCTGGTGAATAAAATATACAGCATAATATTGAAATGCATTTTTTTAACATTTGAGGCTAATAGTGTTTTTATAAGTTTTGACCTTATATTTCTTTTGTGAACTGTATATTAATGCTCTTTGCACATTTTTCTATTACGTTGCTTTCAAAAACCCCTTCAAGAAACAGGGCCTAATGACACACAGGTGTATTCCCAGTACTCAGGAGGCTGAGGCAGGAGGCTTGCCATGAGTTCAAGGACAGCCTGAGCTACATAGTGAGTCGAAGGCCAGCCTGAAGCACATTGTGAAACTCTGTCTCAACAAAATAATAGAAGACTCCTCCTAGGGTTCGGTGTTTAACTTAGTGATATACAAGGTCCTGGGTTCAATCCCCAGCACTAAAAGGAAAAAAAAAACTTCAAGGCCCTTTCAAATATTCGTAAGATAAACCATGAAGCTCATAAATTTAAAATATTTTTTGTTTTTGTTTTGTTCGGAACCAGGAATCGAACTCAGGCCCTCATGCTTGCTGGGCAGGCACTGTGCCACTGAGCTGTACTCCCAGCCCCTTAAAATATTTAAAACATCTTCTCCGTGGGTGCTTGTTCTGCCTTCTGACTTTCTATGCATGTGATTTTAGTACACGTACCCGTGTATATTTAAATCTGAGTGCACCTTTCTGCTTTGCAGCACTGGGGACTGAGCTCCGCGCTGTGCACGCCAGGCACCGCTGTGCAGGAGCTGCAGCCTCAGCCCTCTGAATAGTTTTTTAGAAGGACAGAAGCTACCCCTTTTTGTCTCTGTGGCTCTTGGTCTTTGTAAACTGATAAATGTTAGTAACGCAGGTGCTCACTTCGGGTCCTGTTTAAACCATTCCCCGTGTTGCACTCTCTCTCCAGGTTCTGCTTCCTTCGGGGCTGTGGCTGTGTGTTTTCTGAACGCGCCTTGAAAGAGATCAGAGCGGAAGTTTGTCACACGGTGAGTTCGCCACGTACTCCCCTTGTCCTTCTTAGCCCCGAGGGAGTAGGGTTTGGACCCCCTCCTCTGGTTTTTGAACATGCAGAGCTCTTTCTGGAGCACAGAACTAACAGCTGCCGCTCTGAGCAAACCCATCTCCTGACTTCACTGCTGGAAACGGAGACACAGCCCATTGCGAGCTGAGCCCCCACCAGCCTGTGCCAGTTGGGCCACACAGGGAGCCCTTGTCACTGATCTGCCGCCTTCGCTGGCGCCTTGTTCCCTCCCTGACCTCGCTGCAGTGCAGTTGTCCCACCGGCCCAGGGACGGTTGAGGGCGGGGAACAAGTGTGTCCATCGCCGAGCTCCAGGTTCTTCTCTCTGGGGTGCCTCAGTAAGCGGCTCATACACGGCTCCAGGAAGGGAAGTCGGGCTGGGCTTTGGTGCTCTTTGGCCCCGTGGAAGCCAGGCGTTTGGCTCCGTGTCACAGTTGCCAGCGTGTCTGACTGTAGGTGGCCTGTGTTAACTCAGCCTGCGTGTCAGCAGGTCCCAAGCGTTCCTCCCGCCGTGGGTGACTCACCGAGCAGCTGTGCCAGGCCAGCCCATCATAGGCACCGATGGGCAGGTCCTAGAGGAACAGCTCGTGCTGGGTCCTCTCCCGCAGGCCAGGCAGGACCTCAAGGAAGCGAGCAGAGTTGCATCCCTGTGACAGACACCTGGGAGGAAGCACTCGGGCGCTATAGCAGCAAGGAACGCCCCCGGGTTAGTTTGCATTAAGACTGGAAGGGCATGAAGGACTCGAGTGTGAGCTTGAGCAGCAGCCTCCTCAGCAGAGGAAGGCCATGTACAGTGGCTCAGAAGGGACAGAAGGCCTTTCAGGCTCAGGGGTCATGGGGCCATAATGGGGTAGAAGAGGTGAAGTGGGAGACTGAAGAATGAGGTAGGGTTGTCTCATAGGGCCAGGGTGGCCACATCATTGCTCATGAGTTTTATTCTCAGAGCAGAGGAAAGCCAGATGGCAGCTCTAAGCCAGACCAACATACTTTAGATCTAAACTAAGCCCTGCGTCAAAGAAGCTGGAGATGAACCAGATGCGGTGGTGCACACCTATAATCTTGGCACTCAGGAGGCTGAGGCAGGAGGATCACCAAATTTGAGGCCAGCCTGGGCCACATAGTGACTTGTAAGGCCAGCCTGAACTACATAGCAACACTGTCCAAAAAGGGGGTGAGGGGGGCAAGGATATAGCTCAGTGGCACAAGTGCTTGCCAGGAAAGGGCAAGGTCCTGAGTTCAATTTCAGGTACCAAAAATAAAAACAAATGGAGGAAGAGACTTCATTTATACAGGGTTCAGAGACAGTGGAGAACATTTGAGATGACTGTGAATAAAGTTCTTCATAGAACTTGCAACGTAGCTCTAAACTTGCTTCAGAGTGCATTTGGGGACTGGTTATACTTCAGTCAGCGTAGTCTCCTGTTGAAGGCGGTGTTAGAGATGCTCCAGGGCAGGTAAGATGTGGTGACAAGGCCCCCTGTGCTCAGGGAGGCTGCAGACCTGCAGGAGCCATAGTTGTAGGAAGCTTCACGCTGTGCTTTGCCCTCTGAGGCGGGTACCCGGCAGCGGTACTGGTGTTCGGGGCAGAGCGCTTTCTTCGTCTGTGCTGGTGAGAAGAGGCTTTGTGGAGGGTGCCGTGTTTGTTCTGGGCACAGAGGAAAGGGCGTGCGTCTCGTGGGTGAGACCCGGGGCAGGCTGGAGTGCTATGGGGGGTGCGGTCCACAGGCAGCACGAGCAGACCCGTTTAGGACCTCCTCGAGGGCGACGGCAGCCCCCTTTCCTGCTCTCCGGCAGACCTGCTGCCTGCTTCGTAGGTAAAGTCTGTGGCCCCAGATGTTTTTGTACCCTGTTTTGACACTCATGGGCTGCATCAGAGTAGAACTTAGGCTTAGAGCTTTGGCCGTCAGACCTGGGAGACTTTTGTGTCCTCTGCGTGTTCAGAGTTGCCCTGGAAGCGTGGCAGCAGCATTCAAGGGCCAGAGCAGGAAGGGTGGACAAGAGCAAGAGGTGGAAAGCAGGTCTGAGTGGGGCTCCCGTGGGAGAAGCATCGTGAGGGAGAGGGAAGCAGCAGGCTCTGGGTTCCTGCCGGCCCGAGGGCAGCTTCTCCGTCGTGTGTTCCGGTGTCTGCACGCTGTGGTGGATGTGTGTGAGATGCTATGCGTTAGGCCCTTTGGCAGTTGCACAAGTGTCGTACTCTGAGGTACTGAGCGTTATGGCTTCAGCATGAGGATTGGGAAAGGCGCAGTTCAACCCATAGTGCTGTCACATGAGCGTATCATAGAGCCCAGGGCAGAGTGTGGCCAGCGAGAGCCCAAAGTGCAGTCTCATGAGCGCATCATAGCCCACAGGATAGAGAGTGGCCGCGAGAGTGGGAACCACTCGTTCTTCACTTGTTCACATACGCACACAGCCAGCTTTAGTCTGTTCTGTGCTGTTACAGTAGACAGCTTGGAACTGAGTAATTCATTTTTTGGTTTTATTTTGTTTTGTTGAGGCAGGGTCTCACTGTGTAGTCCAGGCTGTTCATAAACTTACGGAGATTCTCCTGTCTCAGCCTGCCAAGTGCTAGATTACAAGTGTGCACCACCACACTCGGCAGAACTGGGTAATTCATAAAAAGAGAAATTTACTTCCTCAGAGATCTGAGGCTGGGAAGCCCAAGATACAGGTGCTGGGATAATGTGAAGTACAAATATTGTGCTGGGTTATAATGTGAGAGAAGAAATGACATGTATTCATGAGAGAGAGAGGGAGAGATGGAGAGGGAAGCGGATGAGCAAGTGTGAGCCAACCTCGTCGTTTTCTGAGGGACCCACTGCCAATGATAGTGGCATCAGTTCATTCAAAAAACTGGTGCCCCATGTCCTAGTTACTTTCATGTTACTGTGACATAGTACCTGATGCCCATAAACTAAAGGCGAGGTTTATTTAGCTCACAGTTTGTAGAGGTTTCAGCCCACAGCCGGCTGACCCCAAGGCAGGGCAGGCTGGCAGTGGACAAACACTTTACGGCATAGTAGGCAGGAAGCAGAGCTGTCTAGGGAGGACGGGGGAGATAGACCTTCTGGGCCACGCCCCAGCGACCCACCTCCCCCACCAGACGTCCCCTCTCGGCGTGACATTTAGCTATAAACTCACCGACTGATGAGTGTCACACCCCCATGATCTAGTCAGCCCCCAAAGCCCCACCTGTGGGACTCTGGGGAGACATCTAGATATAACCTCTAACATTCCACCCTGGCTCTCGAAAGACTCATGCACATTTCTATGCAGAATGCCTTTAGTCCATCTCCAGGGGTCTTAACAGTTTCAGCATTGCTAAAAAGTCCCAAGTCAAAATTCGTCTCTGAGATGTAAGGTAAACTCTTAGGTGTAAGTTCCTGTAACAGTGGAGAGGAAGTTAAACACTTCCAGCAGGCAGTGGCATGGGTAAACATTCCCATTCCAAAAGGCAGAAATAGGGGAATAGAAAGGAATGAGACCAAAGCAACCCTGAAATCCAGCAGGGCAAACGTGAAGTCCTGTCCTCCCATGTCCAGCACGCAGGGCGAGATGTGAATTCAGAGGGCTGGAGCCGCTCCACCCTCCAGCATTGCCAGTGGTGTTTGTGTCCCTCATAAGTCTAGGTTTGGCTTTGCTCCCTCCTTGTTGCCTTCCTCAGATGGTGTCCGTTCCTGCCTTTTCCACCATGCAGGGGTCTCCACTGACTTTCAGCTTCACACCCTGCCCTCTCGGTCAGGGGTGCACTGCCAGGCCTCCCAGGCTTTCCTCTGAAACATGAGTGGAACCCTTCCTGAATACACAACTCTCCCACTCTGCATGCACCTAAAACAAGCACCACGTGGGTGATGCCAGGGTGTGGTGCCAGCTGGAGCAGTAGTTGAGCCCTGTCACATCTTGCTGCTGGCTGCAGAGGCCTCTGAATGCCTCTGGCTGAGCACAGCAAGCTGAGTCCTGGGAAATCAGTTCTCATTCCCTAGGCTGCCGCCTTTTGGAGCATGATGCTCTGGGCTCACTCCTCAAAGCAAAGTCTTTCACTTCTGCAGTTTGAGCCTTCGAAGGGTGGGGCAGCTCAAATGCCCTGAAATCATTTTTTTTTCTCATTATGTTGTTCCAAAGTATCTGGCTCATTTCAATGCTAATCTTTTTGCAACCAAGCTCTCCTCTGCTCCAGCTTTATAGGCACCAACTTTACCAGAGCTTTCTTTCTGCCCAAACTCAAAACTTTTTTATCATTCTGCTGGGCTGTTTGCTCTTGATTCTCAGTGTAGAGCTAGTTAAAAGCCCACAGTGGTACCCAAACCACAGCCTAAATGTTTGGCTGCCTTGAAATTTCCTCACCAGCTTAATTTGTCCACTGCCCTTAATCTTAGTCTCCTGTAAGGTCTCCAAACATGAGCAAAACGCAGACAAATTTCCTGCCAGTGTGTAACAAATGTAACCTAGAGTCCAGTTGCAGGCTGGAACCTCCTCAGCCTGGTCTTTTCATCTTTTTTATCAACATTCTGATCTTCTGAGCTCTGACCAACATCTTCCATCGGGCTTGGCATACAGCATTCTAGGGCTGCTTCTCGAGCCACCATCTCTGAACTTTCCAAAATCCCCCCGCTAGCCAGTTTAATCCCCAATACTGCAAGAAAAAAAAGTTTTCAAAGTTTGATATTGCAGCACTAAGTATTTTGATCAAAGTTGAGTAGCTGCTGTAACAGTGTCCAGGTTCCAGAGGCTGATCACAGTGAAAATCACTGGGTGGACAGCTTTCCTCAGGGGTAACTCAGACTCTCAGGCGCCTGCTCCGTGGTAGCTGTGACCTTTTGTGGTCTGGGATATACTCTTCCCTCTTCCCTTGACCTGATTGGCAGGGGGAGAGCGTCTATCTCAGGAGGTGTGGCGGGGGGCAGACCTGGAAATGGCACCCTCCGCACCTGCTCACGATTCAGCAGCCACTGCCACGTGGCCACATCTAACCGCCAGCGCACCTAGAGGCCACCCAGCTGTGGGAAAGGTGAGTGCCAGCCGTTCCTGCCAAACCCTGCCCCAAGGAGGAACAGCGGCACAGCCTTGGGGAGCGTATTCTGGAAATGTGAATGAAGAGAAGTAAAAGACTAAAACAAATACGTACAGTGTGGGGCTGGAGATTTAGCCCAGCAGCACAGCGCCTGCCTGGCAAGCGCGAGGTCGTGAGTTCGATTCCCAGTACCGGAAAGAAAAAAAAAAATACGTCCAGTGTGTGAAATGTAGAGAAATCACTCCATACCTTCGTGCTCCTTCAGTACGTGGTGGACTCGGCGTCATTTGTGTGGGAAGTTACAGTTCACTGAGCTGCTTGTGTTTTGCCTTTGAAGTGTATTTGTATTTCTTTAGTTTCTTCCCTATGGCTCCTGCTTTTCCACTTTTAGTTGTTGCTGTTGTTTTGGGGAACCAGGAATTGAACTCAGGACCTTGCACTTGCCAGGCAGGTGCTGCGCTGCTGAGCTATACCCCTGTTGTTTTATTTTTTAACTTCTCTTGTGTTGCAGTAGGGGGAATTGAGCCCCACACCTCCCGCACACTGAGCACCCGCCCTGCCACTGCACTCCACACCCAGCCCCACTCTCCTACGTTGCCTGCTTAGTCGTTGCACATTTCAGTCTTGCATCGTGTCCAAACACTGTCAGAGGAAGAGCGGGTATAGACAGTTTTCAGCGAGTGCGTAGGAACGTTTCAGGGACACCAACAACAGAAAAGTCAGGGCCTTTAAAGAGAGGCCCTTTATCTGTCTGCTGAGAGATAATCAGAACCACACCTTGCCTGGTGCTGTCCAGCGTGGTGGCTGTAAGCCATGTGCACCTTGTTTTTTAAGTTAAACTAATTAAAAATTTAAAAATTAAAGAAAACTCAGTATTCACTTCCTCCATCTTGCGCGCCACATTTCTAATGTCCAGTGTCCTCGCTGGTTGTGGTGGCGTGGGCAGCTCAGGCGTGGGTCACTCCGAGCACGGCAGAGGTCCCAGCAGACAGTCACTGAGTACTCGGAAACCTCAGGCAGCCTTGTTAAGGAGCAGGGTTTTCCACCGCAGGGCTTAGTTGGTTGTTTTGATGGTATTAGGGGTTGAACCCTGGCCTGCTCACTGAGCCACATCCCCACCTCTTTTGGGTTTTGTTTTTTGTTTGTTTGTTTGTTTTGTTGTTGTTTTCTTTTTTTTGGAGACACAGCCTCACCAAATCATTAAGTTAACTGGCCTGGATTGGAACTTGTGATTCTGCTGCCTCAGTTTCCTAAAGTGATAGAACAACAGGTGTGTGTCACCATGCCCTGCTCACCCCAGATTAATTTCATTTTACCCAGAGAAGTAGACTCTTGGATGTTTTTGTAGAATCTGTCAGAATAAAGTGATTCTGTTCTCATGTAACAAAAATTCTTTAGATAAGCATATGTTCATATTCAGTGGGAGTGTGTTCCTGGTTTGTTTTTTTTTTTTTTTTTTTGAGACAGGGTCTCACTGTGTAGTCCCAGCAGACCTTAAACTCATAGATATCCTCCTGCATCAGCTTCCTGAGTGCTGGGACTACAGACATGAGCCACCACACTTCCCTAGGAGCTTATTCTTTATTAGTGTCTCATGTACAAGAGTGCCCAGGCCCCCAAAACAAAACACATTGTTTACAACCCCAGCTTGAGCCTGGGTCACCCACTTCCAGAGTTTTGGTTTTCAGAACTGCTGAGGCAGTCAGCTCTCCAGTGACTGTGTGCACATCATCAGTGGCTGCTCAAGTTACTGTTCTCCTGTGATTTCGTCCCCAAACCTGCAAAGCAGTCAGGAGCAAACGTTTGCCGATAGCATATTTCTGAATTCATTGTAGGGCTAATCCATATCCAGGAGTTCCTGTCCTTTCCTCCCTCTGTAGCTGTGTTAGGTTGGTTCCTCCAGCAGAAGGAAGCCAGTGAGACCGCAGACTCTTTAGTGGTTCGGCCTCACGTTGAAGTGACTTTCCTGTGGAAATCGCCACTGTGGTTCTACAGTGACTTCTGCCTGCTGTAGGACCTTACGTCTGTGCCACCTCTCCAGGCATGTAACCACGAGGGGGTCTGCTGAGCGCTCAAATTGGTTGGCGAACAGGGAAGGAGACCGAATGATCCACGGCAGGTCTCCCAGTCCGTACACGCAGACATCTTGGACGTAGCGCCCTGCAGAGAGAAGGGCAAATGCTTAGCTGCCTGTTTCCCCACATGCTCATATTCCTGCAGCCGGGATGCACCTCCCCCCCACTTCATCTGCAAGGCCTCTGCTTCACAAGTGTTCAAATTAAACAGCATTTTGCTTTGATAGAAGCTACGTTGAATGTTGGATTTACAGCAGAAAAAGACATTTTCAGTCTTTTTGTCAAGTGATTTCTGAAATGTTTGGTGGTGGCTGCAGATGAATCCTGTGGAATTTTAGCGAGTCGTGAGCGCAGGAAGATGAACTAGCACTCATCTGCCTGGGAAAGTCTAAGTTCTGATAGGTTCTGGTTCTGATTTCTGGTTGTGGGTAGTTCATGAGAAAGGTGTGTTTTTAATAAGCCACTGCTTCCTCCGTGGGTTGTTGAGAGTGAGCGTTTGACACAAGTGAGGTGATAAAAGTGGCAGTTAAAGTCAGAATCCAGGGCTAATTGGATCTGTTCGCGGCGGACTCAGTAGAGCTTTCTCGTGCCGCGCTTGCTACTCGCCTGGCCCTCAACAGCACGCTGACGTGGTCCCACTGGCACCAGGTCTGCAGGTGACAAGTGAGGTCTCAGTGTCCCGAGGGTGAGGCCTGGCTGCGGGAGTCCCCGCACGCTCCGCTCCCTCTGCGCTCCGCTCCCTCTGCGCTGTCCCAGCAGGCTGGCAGTCCGCCTCCAGCTCCGTCTTGGGGGCAAGGAGGCGTAGCAGGCGCCAAGCCGCGGCTGTGAGACGGAACACGGCAGAGGAGCCCGCTGCTGCAGTCCATCCCCGTGAAGGGCCCGAGCCATTAGATAAAGGGCAACGAGTGTCATGGGAACGTTTTTAGCTGGCAGACAGTGTCTTGGGCTCTCAGTAGAGTTACAGTCAACCAGGTAAAATCGTATCAAGATAAGCAGTGAAGACCTTAGGATGTAAGAGAAAAACGAATCAGCTACACCTTCTCTAAAACCATAAAACTGTAATTTAGGTCCATGTGGATTTGAACCGAAGGAGCACAAATACGTGGAATGTTCCCAGAATCCTGTGTATGCCTTTCTGGTGACTGAAAATGAGTGTGGCGGGACACTGGCATTCCGTCGCTCCGCAGGCTGAGAGCCGCCTACACAGCGCTGCGCTTCTGTGCACACGGAGGCACTCGGGTTGCTGCTGGATGAGTCCTGAGCCCTGTGGGCTTTTACACCACTTGCGCGCCATTTGGGGGATGTGAGCCCCTTGCTCTGCTGAGCACTCACTCACGGGTCCTGACAAGCCCAGCGAGGAGTGAACGACAGGCGCCTGCTTGGTAAAGAAAGGGCAGGGGTCAGCCTGCTGTTCAGCGGTCACCTTCCGTGTGAATGGAAGCATTGTGCCTTTTTAAAATTACGTCACAGCAGATCAGCCCAGCACTTCCGACCCGTCAGGGAGGGGGCAGGCAGGTAGCAGCAGTGTGCGTCTTGGAGCTGTGGCGTCAGAGTTGGCGCTTCCTGCTCACAGGCAGCCTGTTCCTGTCGGTTAGTCTCAGGGAGCTGGAGCACTGGCCGAGCCTGGTTTATTTGGCATGTCTTAGGTACTGTAATCAAATTCTCCAAAGACAAGGACCGTGGTTTGTTTGGTATCACCATGCAGTCTCCCTGGGCCCATTAAAACTCATGGGAGGGGTTTCTGTTACTGAAGGAGCTTAAGTCGTAGCTCCAAGATTCTGGTGAAAAACTATTCAAAACGTATGGAGTTTTTAGGAGGCTAGAAATACTCCTTTACAATAATTAAGCCTGCAGCAGTATTTTTTCCGTAATTCTTTTAGAGCGCATGCGAGCAAGACGAGTGCGAAGCCTGCAGTTCTAGAACAGGCAGCAGCGGGCTATCTGTAAAGAGCCAGAGAGGCATTTTTTGGCTTTGTCGGTCCAGAGTTTGTGTCCTCACTGCCCAGTCCTGCCCTTCAGGTCATAAACACTACACTAAGGGAGTGCTTGTGGCTGTGTTCCAGGGTAGTGAGCAGCAGCCAGCCAGCGGACCCCGGGAGCGATACGGTTACCGTTCCGTTTGCTTCTGAGATAGTGGAGGCGATAGGAGCTTGTCAGCAGCCTGCTCTGAAGCTTGTACCTGCATTATCGTTCTGTATTCCCAAGAGACACAGCACCAGCCAGGCTGTGCTGCTGCTGCTGTTGTTGTTTAATGACTTTGTAGTCCTGTATATTCTTTGTGAGTGTTTATCCCCTGGGGCTAGGGGTACAGCTTGGTGGTGGAGAGTTTGCCTAGCATGCATACAACCCTGGCTCCCATCCCAGCACCTCAGAAAGAAAAAAGAAAGAAAAATGTATCAACCTGAACGTTTGTGATGCCTACACTTTTCTGTGTGGATCTTTTTTTTTTTCTTTTTTTTTTCTTTTTTTTGAGAGGGTCTCTCTATGCAGTTCAGGCTGGCCTTGAGCTCACTTTGTAGCCCAGGCTGGCCTCGAACTTCCAGTGATCCTTCTGCCTCAGCTTCCCGAGTGCTAGGATTGTGGGCGTGCGTGACTTCTGTGTGGATCTTATATTAAGTAGTTTGTGTAAGTTGACACCCGTGCTGGTACTGCATCATCACTAATTTCACATTCAGCGTGATCATCAGTCCCCCTTACTAAGCAGCAGGCGCATCGATTCTGCAAAATTCTAAGGTTGTGTTTAGCTTTGGTTTTTACCTTTGCATCCATCGTGAGCTTTTCCTTCCTCCGTTCTCCACTTAACAGCTCGCACGGCTCCTTCCCAGCCAGCGTCTGGTGTGGCCCCCGGAGCATCTAATGGAGACAGAATTGCCATGTGCTGGGGATGGCACCCCAGGCCTCCACACTGAGCTGTGTCCCCAGCTCTTTTTATTTATTTATTTAGAGACAACGTCTCGCTAGACTGCCCAGGCGGGACTCAAACCTGTGATGCTCCTGCCTCAGCCTCCCAGAATGCTGGGATTATAGGCATGAGACACCACACTCATCATTCTTCTGGGTTTTTCAGTGTAAGTTCCGCACTGTTCCTGACATTCCCTCTAGATAAAGCATTCGATGAGAAAGACTGAGGGGACATCCCACTGTGACAGAGATGTTGCTTTGTTACATCAGACCAAACGCTTGTGCTTTGGGGGGTGAGTGGCCCTTAGTACACCGGCTACTGGGGCTGACTGAGGTCTCAGCTCTCCAGCCCTGTACCTAGATTCCACTTTCCAGGGGTTCCCCACCTCTTGTCACTCTCAATTATGTCAGACTGTTGGAGCAAAGCTTTCTCTCTGACGGCCCCCCAAGGTGACCCAAAGGCAGACTTGGAATGGGGTGGAAGTTCGACAAGGCCTTAGCCACTTTCCGCTGGACCCTCTGTTGGCCCTGTCTGGGCTGACGAGCGTTTCCTGCATTCTCTTCAGGAGACAGCTTTTTACAAAGAGAAATTACTTACTTGCCCTTCACAGAGGGCCTGAGCTCTTCCTCTGCCTCAGAGAACCCGTCTGAAGAATTGGCTGTGCTATAAAAACATCACTAGTTTTAGTCTTTTTCATTCTTGGGGGCCCTTACGTGGTGCCTGGCACCAGTAGCTGTCCAATGGGATTTATCACGTAAATGAAGATTTATGCTTAGAATTTTCAGGTTTTATCTTAAAAACAAGCAAAATGCCAGCACAGTTCTTCTTTCAAATGGAGCCCTGTTGGTTTGGGGGCATGACTGTCTCACTCTCTTTAGACCTCTAAACCCAGGGACCCTCCTGTACTCCCAGGTGGTAGCTCTGCGGAATGTACGGCATTTACAGAGCTATGGAGAAACAGCTGAGTAGAACGAATCTATGTTAAGACTAAAACCCCTGCTATGGGCTGTAACCTGAACAAACATCCGCGTTCCTGGATCGTTCTTACCCTTTAGTCGGTTCAGGGTCACCCAGTAATGCTGCTCTGGGCTGCGGATGTCCCTGGACCACCGAAGCATGTCTTTGGCGCGGGTGTCCGTCAGTATGAAGTGCACAAACTTTCTTGTAAGTACATAGTAAGCACTTCCAAAGTAAATTGTCAGGTTATGAGGTGGCTCGTGTTTGAATCTTTCATTTGGTGAGACATAGATATTTCCTGTTGGGCTGGACTCGGGGTCCCTTTGACCTGTCTTGAATTTAGCATTTGATGGTTGGATTACTCCAGGAGTGATGTTTTTGTTGTTCCATTTGCTTCTGAGATAGTGTATGATTTCTTTATTGGTTTTGATTGGAAAATCCTCCCCATAAAGATTAATGACATAGCTCCACTGAAATCTGGAATGGACTAGATCTTCCATACAGTTAATGTCTGCCTGTAGTCTCAGAGGGCCAGCAGAAGCTACTTTGTGTTTCTTTGAGGAAATAAAGATGTTCTCAAAACAGTTAGCCAGGGTTTTCACAGCGGTCTTAAACGTCTTTGGAGCCTTTTCATCAACGTGAAGACAGTAAACATTTTGAGGCACATAAATCGCCCTGAGAAGCTGCACAAACATGGGCATCTCCTTCGGAAGGGTTATAATATACGCCAAAGAAAAGTTGCCCTCTTCTGCAGACAGGGGTCTAGTTATGAAACGCAACCCCTGCAACATCCTAGAACAATTTCCTGGAGCACGCAAATAAGGCAATATTTCAGACCGATGAGGGTTTTTACAGAACTTTGCGATTTGAGGGGCCACCCCTTTGCCTTCAAATAAAGCTGAACACAGTTCATCAGGATAAAAGCCACACTCCACCACTGCTGGGTACGTAGGCTCCTCCGCGGGCTCCTCAGGAGTGGGCTTTCTTAAATAAAGAAAAATGAGGATGCAAAGTACCGTGCACACGAGAAGTCCTGGCTTTGTGGCTCGCAGCTGGCTCATGTTTTGAGCTCCACAGGCATTATTACCATAGTTTGAAGTTTCTTCTTTTAAGCTTCCTGGAAGAACAACAGAATTAACTTTAGTGAAGCATACTAAATTACATGTATTGACAGTGTGTAATTTTACCAAGTTTGTGTTTGAGGTGGTGTCTCACTGTGCTACCCCCTTGGGCCTTAAATCCTTGGCCTTGAGGACCCTTCCCTTCTGTCCAAGTGGCTGGGACTGCAGGCCACACAGCCGTGCCTGGTGGAAAGTGGCCTGGCTGTGTGTCCCTGTCCAGTCATGTAACGGTCGCCACAACGAGCAGGCACTTTCCTCCCCTACAGAGGGCTCTCGGGCCCCCTTAACCCGTCCTTCCTTCCTACTCTAGGCAGTCGCTGGTCTGCCTTCTGTCACTCTGGGTTCGTTTGTGTATTCTACAATTTCACATATAAATGGGATCATAGAGCATGTGTTTTTCACTTGTAATAGTAACTCTGAGAGTCACCCTTACCGTCCCATTTATCACCAGCTCTTTTTTATTAGCGTCGTAGTCCATCTTGTGGCTGTGCCCTTCCCCCGTTCATCTGTTGGTGGACATGTAAGTTACTCTGGTTTTTGAATAGCGGAATATGAAGAGATACTGTAAACACTGTGTACACAGCTCTGTGTGGGCAGATCTCGGGGAGTGAAACGTCTTGTCACACGTTGGTGGGTATCGCAAGCAGTTTCAGTCCTTGAGAAACTGCAGACTGCAGGGCACGGGTGCACACCTGTAATCCCAGCTCCGCAGGAAGCCGAGGCAGGAGGCAGGAGCTCACCAGCAGTTCTAGGCCAGCATGGGCAATTTATCAAGACCGTGTCACAAAATCAAATATAAACAGGTCTGGGGATGTAGCTTGGTACAGCATCCCTAGAGTCACGCCCCAGTACTAGGAGAAAAAAAGAAAAGAAAATGCCGAGCCGTTTTCCAAAGTGGTTGAAGCAGCAGTGTCTGAGTTCCGTTTCCTGACCTGCCGGCACGGTGTGCTCACACAATAGCATCGGGTGTGGTGCTGCTGCCTGTGGTTTTACCCCACCCTTCCCTGGTGACTGATGGCGCTGAGCATATTTGCATGTTATTCCCATGTATTTGTATTCTGTGGGGACCAGCTCTTCCCTTACGGAAATGAGAAATTATACGATTAGAAGCTTGAATCTGTTGAAATGAGGTCCTGAATTGTTTGTAGGGAAGATGTCAGTGATTAAAAGCAAGATGTCCTGAGCTCTAGGTTGGTACCTGAATAGGTGTAGCAGTGGCAAAAGATAATCGGAAATGTGTTAGTCAGTGTTACGTACGAGGGTCGTTCTTTGGACTCTAGGTTGGGGAAATGTCAAGCCTTACATGGCTAGGACTTTCTGGTTTTTAAGGAATCGTGAGTCTGAGTTTCCATAAAAAGCTGTATCTTATTCCTATTACCTAATTTTTTTCTTCATTTTAAAATGAAAAAACCCAATAAAACAGTTTCGCAGCAGGCTAGTAGGACAGCAACAAAATTAGTACATTGCATGTTACTGTCTACGTAATAGTTAGGCAGAGTACAAAATAAAGGCATGAAACGTTGTCCAAACAGTGTTAGCACAGACCTGTGAACTAGGAGAAACTAGCTGTGTAACTATCTGAACTATCTTGTGTGTGTGTGTATATATATATTTTTCTTTTCCGTTTCCCTTCCTTCCTTTCCCTTTTCCCCATCACAGTTCCCTGTTGCCTATTTGTAAAAATCCTTTGTACTCCGGGCTGGTGTGTTGCCTCACACGGGACAGGGTGACCTGCCTTTCCCCACTGGCACCGTGCTGCTGGGGTGAGGTACGGCAGCACAGCGTTTGTAGTTACCCTCGGGTTGTTCGACCCTGGGGCAGTCGGTACCATAAGTACACGTTGGTTGCGGATTGTTTAAAATGTATTTATTTTCCCTGTATAGTTTCTTTCCGCCCAGCATGCTTGCAAATTAAACAGTAGCACTGCCCAAATACATCGTTACGTTTTATGCTATATCGGTAAATGTTCACTAGTTTCACTAAACATCAAGCCGTATGGCCTGCATTTAAAGACATTTTATAAATTGCACGGCATTTGATAGATATAGAAATCTCATTATAAGTTTCTAAACAGTTTAAATCATAAGCATAGGTATTGCATGGGAAGGAAACTCCGGAAAATGAAAGTAAAGCTTTTTAGGACATTGAAGAGTTTTGCTTAAACGTAAGCCACAGCTGCAGTCTGCTACACCTCTCCTTGTGTTGCGGCTTTCGTATAGGAAGTGAGGGTTTGGGGGTTTTGTTCCTGTTGCAGCATCAGTTCAGTAAGCCCCTCTGCACTAACCGGATGCCCCCTGTGTAAACCTCGCCCTGTGCCAGGGCCCAGGGGACTGGGTATTTTCAGAAGTTTATATAATTAAATGAAGATAAGTCCCAGGGGTGGCCGTCCTCCTTCAGGGTAATACCCAGGCTAAGTGGTTTTCCACCGGTAGAGTAGGGGTGAGACCGGGTCAGGTGTCAGCGAGTCACCTTTCCCCTTTGTTTGGTCAGCACTGCCTTCCCATTTGCCACTGAAGTCCAGCCTGGGCTCGCTGTGAGGATACAGTAGATGGCTGCTGAATGCATGTGGAGTGGCAGCTGGAACCCCAGCAGTTTATCTTGACATTTCAGTCCAGGCTTGGTCAGGACAGATCTTGTAAATGAAGTCTTTGGAGACCTCCCTGCTGTTGAATATAAATAGTTCTTGCTGTCGCTTTAACAGCACATCCAGTGGATAACGCGAATACTCCCGGAGGAGCGCTCTTCGGGGACTGGCAGGGCTCCCCTTCACGGTGGTGCTGAGCTCTGGTTTCAGTTGTGTAAACGTCTCCTAGTGACTCCTGATTACTTGTTCCGCTTCTGTTGCAAACTCAGTTTTTAAGCCATAATCAAGATGTATTTATTTAACATGTGACCTTCTGTCACTGAACTAATTTCCAAAAACCATAGGAGGTATCCTCCAAGTGTAAGAAATATGTACTCCTAAAGTAGTCGTTTGGATTTTGAACCATTTTTCTCCATAAAAGTTACATCTGAAGTATTTATTGACTGGAAGGTTTTAAAATGAGTAACTGTTCCCCTTGTGTGTGTGCAGGGGGCAGGCCAGTTTTCTGTCCAGTCCAAGTGATTTTACCATTCCTAGATCCCGTGTCCTCAGATGTGACTGCATCACAGATGGTTCCTAAAGTTTAGGGGTGTACGAGAGAGCACTTTAAAGCTTTTCCCAGGCACTACCTCTCTGGAGATTATCTGTTCGAGGCCAGATGTACTTTAATAATCTTTGGTCTTCCATATCTGCAGCCTTTGAAAACTGGAGTTGTTGAACTCTATGTAGCATGTAACAGAACTAAGTAGCTTCCCAGCAGTGAGTCCTGTTAAAGCTGTGTGTTCAGTTCACCGGCCCCTGACATCCGGGAATGCTGCAGAGCGCTTTTGGTGGGAACAGTGAGCAAAGCCGTGGTTGTGCGAGTGGAGCGACTCTCCCCCTTTAGAGCGTGCCGCAGTCTGCAGTAATAGGAGCGGTTTCCGGTTCTGAGTGGAATTGCTTTACATTTGATGTTTTTGTCCAGGGCCAAAAGGGCTTGTTTCAAAACACCTCACTGTCCGAGAGAGAGGCGTCACCCTTTTCTTATCTCCCTCCTCACCCTCAGCACTGTCTACACAGCCGAAACCAAAAGCAGTGTGGTGTTGGGTCGTGAGTTACCCAGAGGTTTGTTTGTGGGCATTTATTTTACGATGGGGCTGATTTTACTGAAAAGACTTTGGGAGGGAGTTGGCAGCATCCCATTGACCTGTGTGTGTTTGGTGTTGTTGTAGTTGTCGTAATGGCGCTGGGGATGAGGCAGGCGCTCTAACCCTGAACCCCAGCCCTGCATTTGCTTATACTATGCTTCTCTTTAGTTTTTACTTTTCTTTTTAATTGTGGTACCAGGAGGTAAACTCAGGGCCTTCACACTTCACAGTAAGCCACATTCTCAGCACCCAACACACCCCTGCTTTTAACTTTTCCTTTATATTTATTGGTTGTTGTGGTTGCTTGGTTAGGTTTTGGAGACAGGGTCTCGCTATATAGTGCAGGCTGGCCTCAAACTCGGGATTCTCCTCCCGCCTAAGCCTCCCGAGTGCTGAGGTGACAGACATGTGCTGCCACTTGTGGCTCTAGTTTTTACTCTTAAAGGTAATTGTGGTGAGTAAATAGTAACAGGCATCTTTAAAAGTGACCTTAAAATACATGGCCCAGTAGATTAAAAATATCACTCCTTCGTAGCATTAATGTTAATTTAATCAATAAAAATCTTTTAGTGACCGGAAAAGGTTTTCAGAGCACTGTTTAACAGTAATGCTTATTATTGTATTTAGCTTATCGGAGACCCTAGCGCTCAGCTTAGAAGGAAATGAGCTTTGTATCATGCTTGTCTGAAATCACTGTGGCCCCAGCACTGATAATTTCATGCCCATTTTTTTTGCTGTCTCTGGGCTTAGTATGATGTCTAAAGCTCCCTGAACACTGACACAGTTTTCTTGAACAATCTGAGCTCATCACGTTCACTGGGCTAGTTCTGAACTCAGGAGCTGTCCGACTGTCCATAATCACGCGCGTTCCTAGGACGTGTCCAGATTTTTAAGCCGTCTTCATGCAAAGAGGAAAACTTCATTTTATGGTCTCCACTCAGCCACAGCTAATGTGTTTAGTTTTCATTGTTAGCGCAAAATGAGAACTGCGGCTTCTGGCCCTGCAGCTGTTTTCACTGCCACCTCTGTGTGAGGAATGAGCACATGGTGGCATTCTAGATTTTAAAATCTAGCTGCTCTCATATTGTGAAAATATCCCACTTATATTTAGGGGGGCTTAAAGAGAAAGTAGGGGAAGAATGATAGCCTCTTTAATAAATGGTGCTGGAAAAATTGGCTTGCTACCTGCCAAAGACTGAAAATAGACCCAGGTCTATCACCATGCACCAAACTCGAGTCAGAATGGATCACAGATCTCAATATTAAAACAGAAACACTAGATCTATTGGAAGAGAAAGTAGGTAAAAACCTTCAAGACATAGGGGTAGGCAGAGAGTTTATGAACAAAACCAAACTGCATGGGAAACACTTGAAAGAATCAACAACTGGGATCTCATCCTACTGAAAAGTTTCTGCACATCTAAAGAAATCACCAGCAGAGTCAAAAGAAAACCCACAAACTTGGAAAAAATTTTAGATGGCTGTCCATCAAAGGGCTTCTATCTAGAACATATAAAGAATTTTAAAATATCAGCCCCCCCCCCAATTCAAAGACCCAATCCAAAAATGGGCAGCTGAGATGAATATACACTTCTCAGATAAGGAAATACAAATAGCAAATAAATACATGAAAAAATGTTCAACATCATTAGTCATTCTAGGAATGCAAATTAAAACAACATTGAGATTCCACCTTACCCCAGTAAGAATGGATAGCATTAGGCAATCAACCAGAAAAAAAAAAAAGAAATCAACCAGTAACAAATGCTGGTGAGGCTGTGGAGAAATAGGAACCCTTCTCCACTGCTGGTGGGAATGCAGACTGGTGAAACCACTGTGGAAATCAGTTTCAAGATTCCTCAGAAAACTAGGTCTAGAGGTCCCATTCAACCCAGCTATTCCTCTTCTGGGTATTTTCCCAGAAGATCTACAAACATCATATCACAGCAATATATGTGCACCTATGTTCATAGCAACACAATTTGTAATTGCTAAATTGTGGAAGCAACCCAAATGTCCATCCACCTAGGATTGGATAAGAAAATTGTGGTACTTTTCTATAATGGAATATTACTGAGCTATAAAGAAAGATAAACTCGAGGCCTTTATAGGTAAATGGTCACAACTAGAGACCATACTCACAAGTGAAATAAATCAGACCTGCATGTGCAAGCACCGCACTGTCTCACTAGTGTAAAACCTGAAAGAGTTAATTTAAACTCGGAGGTATGATAGACATTGTGAAATGATAGGAAAACACTCAAGGGTAAAGGGCAACTGGGATGTGGGAAAAGAGAAGGGAAAGAAGGAGAAATGTTGTATGCATGTACATACAGGATAGTTAACATAGTTGTTCTACTGTCTTCTATTTCTTTGCTGAAAGAAACTGTTAATGAGTCCTTGATTGATCAATATTGCATGTCTCTGTTTTCATGAGAAACCACTTTGAAGATATCAATATGTAATACAAGAGGCATTGTTAATTTCCTACCACTCTGTAACTCTATATTGTCTGTACTGTTCTTTTGCTATTTTGTAAAATGTTGTCTGTCTGTTAATGTTTTCCTCCTTTTATTTTTAAAATTAAAAAAAAGAAAGTGGGGGCTATTTTGGGGAGGAAAGGGTCCCCACAGATTTGATGTACTGATTTACCAGATTTACTGATATTGTAGCATTCTGCTTTAAGCCAGAGAGGGAGGCAAAGAGAAAACGCATCATACTTCAGAGATCACACGTACCTGCTTAGCCTCTGCCCCTCGCTGTCCCGCGCAGCAGCGAGGGACGCACTTGCTGCAGGCTCCCGTCCGGGGCGTGACATGTCGGCAGTGCCCCCAGCCACCTCTGTCTTCCCCGATTGCTTCCCTCGCAGTGGTGCAGCTCAGAGTTGCCTGGCAGGCTGTGTTGCCTTTGCATCCCTGGAGAGTTTGATTCTTGTTGACTGTGACGTGCGGGTGGAAAAATGGCTGCTGCTTTTATCTTCAGGACTGGATCCCCCGCTGAAAGCAGAAGATGAGATTGCTGCAGAAATCCCCGCCCAGGTGAAGGGCGGCAGTCTGAGGTCTCAAATGAAGGCCATTCTTAAGTGTTACTTCTCCCTGAAGAGCGGTCGGGAAAACCCGTGGGTTTCAGTCTGCTGGCTTTTTTTTTTTTGGACTTTTTTTTTAAAAATTGGCCAGGTGTCGGGGACGCCAGTGAGCCCAAGCCCTTGCGTCCTTGCCTGCTGCACCACAGGGCCGTTGCACTGCCGCCCCTCATGGGCTTCCTCCTCCCTTCCCCGCCACCCCGGGGCATCTTCTGGCCACCCTCCCCCTCCGGGGTTTTAGTTCCTCCCAGGTGCAGCAGCTCACTAGGTTCTGCATGAACACATCTGTTAAGAAAAGTGAAGCAACACAGCAAGGCCTTCTCTCAAAAATAAAAAAGCTGTAGCGCTAAGGAACATAGATTCCTTGTTGTGAGGCGCTGGGGGTGCGGGTCTGCGGCACAGCGCTGGCCTATCATGTACCAGGCCCTGGATTTGATTGGTTGACAGGGTTGACAAAAAAGTCAGCAGCGTTGAGGTTAACGGTCCCCTCGTGTCCCTAGACCCGGGGCCGTGTCAGTGACTTGAGACCTGGGCTGCCCTTCTGCAGGACTCCTGTGTGCGCTTGCCTGAGCAGATGGGGTCGAGCCTCGGCGCTCTTACAGCATGCCCTGTTCAGGCAGCTGTCAGTAGAGAACGCTGCTGTGTTTTATGCTTCTGTGGCTCTGTTGGGATTCCGTGAGTTCAGTTCCGGGATTAAATATCTCCTGAAACTCTGCTTCCATTCACTCACTCGTGCAGCAGTCGTGTTCCCAGCGTGCGCTGCGGGTAGGCCATGGGCCCCCACCGTGACGTGGAAGACCGAACGGTCCCCCGTAGAGCTCACGGTCTGTTGGAGAAAACCCTGTGTCCAGGTCGGTGCCGGTGTGCAGGGGCCATCCGTGTGCTGTGCGCCGTGGAGTCCTGTGAAAGAGCGCGCAGGGTTCTGAGGCGGAGAAACCGAGTCACGGAGTGTTTTCTGGGTCAGAGGTACCCGCGCTCAGCCGTTCATGGGAACTGTTCTCCGTCAGGACAGCTATTGGGGGCCTCCGTTCCGTGTTCTTAGGGGATATAAACATGTAGGCAGAATTCTTTGTTCCCTCTTGGCGCTTCCCTGCTGGCTTTATTTTAAGTACTTTAAAAAAAAAAATGGCATTTAGGGGTCATGTGAATACAGAATTATAAGTGTATATAAGCATTTCTACACAGAAACTAAAGTAACTGTGGGTCTTCCTTTCTAGGAAAGTTATGATTTATTGAACTTTTCTCCATTTCTGATCACCTAAGTCTCTAAGCATTAAATTACGAGTGATAAAAGAAGCAGATTTTGGAGTGGACACGCATTCCGGTTACAGAGAGCGCAGCCCCTGGAGCCAGCTGCTGCCCTGAGCTCAGCCTGCAGGAGGGCCGGCCTGGCGCTGGCACTGTGGATGGAACCCGCTTTCTGCCTGCCTCTCACCTGCCCTTTCGGAGTGAGCCGTGCACCCAGGCTCCCTGGGCGGTGTGAGTCGGGCAGGTGACAGCGCTGCGCGGTGCCCAGTGTCCAGGGACACTCCTCTTGGGTCAGGAGCTGAGGGCCCTGAGTGTGAGGGGACTTGCGACTCTAGAGAAAGAGCGGGCCCCGCTCACCCCTGCCCTGCTGCATTTCCCTGTCTCCTCACGAGACTCGGGCAGGTGCGGGCGTCCGTCCTGAGCACGGCCCAGACTTCAGCGGTGGGCTCAGAGGCCGAGGAGGCTGGGGCTGCGGGTGCCCTGCCCGAGGACGGGCTGTTCTCAGCCTTTCTGTTTAGCTGAGCTTTGCCGGCTGGTGTGTAGAGGGGTTGGATGAACCGCTTGTCCCCTCTGCTGCAGGTGCTTTCTCTCCGCCTGCTTACAGTGCTGTGCACTGACTTTGCCGTGTGGGAGTTTGTCAGCTTACCTGGCAAACCGTGCTCGCTTGACAGCTTCTGCCTTTTTCTTGCTTTGCAGGACCGTGCTTGTCCTAGTCCTAAAGCGTGTTTTCTGACCAGTTCTTTCACAGTGCTGGTTCTCTTTGCGGTGTCAGGTGCTACCCAGGGTTTCCCAGCGCAGGCAGGAGTGGCGCCGTGGCCTGGGTGCCTCAGTGAAGCTGTCTAGTGGCCTCTGGCTTGTATCACAAGGGGCGGGATCGTTGCCAGGCGGTGCTCAGGGTTTGTGGGGAGCGGAGTTGCCCGCGGCTGAGGAGGGCTGCTCTGGGTCAGTGTCTTTAGGCTGAGGAAGCCAAGGCTGGAGTGCGGGGCCGCACGCTCCGTGTGGCCTGGACAGATAGCACACGAGCCTCGTGCCAGTGTCGGAGCGGACACCCGCCAGTCCTTGCTGCTTCCTGTCACTCCTGCCCCAGCCCTGCTGCACAGGGTCCCGGCTGTGCGCCACGCGCAGGGGCCGCGGAGTGAGGACGGCACCGCCCGCCAGCGTGCTGCGCAGCGGGCAGAGCGCCAGGGCCTCACGGGCTGAGGGGCAGAGGTGGCGGAGCTGCCAGCCTGGTCCCAGGTGGCTCTGAGGAGGTGGTCGCTCCCTCATGAAGCCGTGAGCACGGACACGCCTGACACCAGGACGCTGTCGGGTGGGGTCTGGACCAAGCTCACAGCCTGGGGCTGCAAGGCCCAGCTGGGCTGAGAAGGCCTTTGGGAGCGAGGCTGCCGTTGTTCTCTCAGCGCGGTGCCCCTGCAGTGTGGTGGGGAGGACCCGCAGCAAGGTGGGTCGTAGAGTTTGGAAGAATCCTCCTCTTCCTTATGTTCTGCTGCTCTTCAAGGGCACCGAGGGGGCACGGCCCGGCCACACAGTGCTGGGACAGGCTTCTGTCCTGCAGTGCCCGGCAGCACATCGGAGCCTAGGGCTTTTGCTGGGAGCTGGTTACGTACCCTCGGCTCAGCACATACCAGGATTCCAGACACAGAGAAGAAATGCATAAACCACATTATACGAAGTCTGGGCCCTTTGCGTCCCCCGTGTCAGCTAGGAAGTGGTAGGGGCCCTTCCTGCACTGCCGGCAGGCCCTTCCAGGTGGCTCCCTCAGGCTGCTAGGCTGGCACTTTCCTGGGCACGTGTACTCCCCAAAGCAAGACTTGCACCTCAGAGCTGGCCAGGCCACGATGCATGGGAAGCCAGCAAAAGCTGCGGGGCGATGCTGGGGGCGAGAGGGGGGACTCGGGTGGCTTCTGCTCTCCTGGTGACGGACTCTGGCTCTTGCCCTCCAGTGCGGGGCTGCCTTCCAGGAGGATGACGTCATTGTGCTCAACGGCACCAAGGAGGACGTGGAGATGCTGAGGAAGAGGATGGAGGAGAGGCGGCTGAGAGCGAAGCAGGAGAAGGTAACGGAACGGAGGCTTTGTGTCCACCCCTCGCCTCCCTCGTGGTTGAAAACGGGTGTGCGGGTTGAGCCCAGCCTCACAGTGAAGCGGGAGGGAGGGCACCTCCGTAGGACGTGGGTGCAGGAGGGAGGCGGCGCAGAGCCTAGCGAGCCCTCAGGGAAGGCGGCGACCATGACCTCTACTGTCACTTTAGAGGAACTCATGCTCAGTTTTCGTAGCTCGTGAAACAAAGGGGCAGTGGAAAGGCACCACCGTCCCAGCAAGTCCACACATCTGAATGCGTACGGAGCCCCCGCAGCCTGCGTTCCAGCCGGCCTGGGGGCCGTGGGGGCCCACACTTCCTCCCTCCCCCAGAGCAGTGGGCGCAGCCCTGGAGGACGCGGGACGGCAGGCGCTCGGCGTTGTGTCACAGTGGGCGCGGCCCGCGGGGTGCAGAGCTGGGGCTCGCGTCCTGCTCCAGGGCTCGGCACCGCGTTCTGGAAGCAGCAGAAGCACTGCTCGGTGATGCAGCGTGACAAACAGGCCCAGCAGTTGGTCAGTGAAGAAAGCAGGCCGGCGACGTAGCTCAGGGGCACAAGCGCCGGCCTGGCAAGCGCAAGGTCCTGAGTTTGATTCCTGGTACCAAAAATAAAAAGTAAATTCAAAACAATCACTCAGGGGTGAGAGTGTAGCCCAGGGGGAGAGCACTTGCTTAGTGTTCGTGAAGTCCTGGGTTTGAGCCTCCGTGTCACCAAAAAAAGGCCATCGGTTGTGAGTCCAGCAGTACATTTTATGATTTATTAAGTGGGAACAGATATTAGTTGTACCTTGCAGGTCTTTTGTGAGTAGTAAGTTTATTTTTTTATTTATAGAAGAGTGAGGGGGGCTGGGGATGTAGCTCAACAGCACAAGTTCCTGCCTCGCAATTGCAAGGTCCTGAGTTTGATTCCCAGTACCCGCCTCCCTCCAAAAAAGAAGAATAGAAAAGTTACACTCAGGGCAGACTTGGGAGAAAACAGTGTGATCAGAACCAAAGCAGAAGGGTGCTGGAGCTGTTAGAAAACCAGTGTCGTGCCCTGAGGACGTCAACTTCTGGGGGAAAATGGCCTTAAAATCTGTCTGCATCCACTGGTTGCTGGGGTGATGATGTAAGAGTTTTTCAGAGCTTTGTTTTTTGTGTTTCTTTTGTCACAGAAGCAATTATAGGACCAGTATCACCTTGGAATAATAATAATTTGTGATTGTTACACTTAGAAAAGCTGCTGATGGAGCACATGGTAGCATTGCTATGAGGCGTAGACTCAGAAGTGTCAGAAGGGACCAGATGCAGTGGCTTTTGCTCCTTTTCTCATTTTACTTAAGTAGAAAATAACGCGTGTACGGTTCTATAGTTCAGAGTTGTGCCCAAACTTTGTGATCAAATGCAAATGTTTTGTGATGCTATTTATGTTAATACAGCATTAATGAGAATTATTATGGAGCCAGTGGTCATTAGGCCGTGCACTAAGGTGCAAATGTATGTGTGTGTTTAAGTTCCGAGTTGGTTTTCTCAATTACTCTGACTTCAACAGCAGCAGAGAGAAAGGAGAAACTAGAGGTGTCTGTGACAAAGGACAGTTCCCAGAAGGGACCTGTTTGTGCTTCGTTGCTGCCACTGAGGAGATTTTAGAAACAAACACAAAAGGGGGAAGTCCTATTCTAAGGAAGCTGCTAGAGGTGTCAGGTAGTTTCTTGAACCTTATTTTAGTGAGTTTTCCCGTCACGGGCTTCCCGCCAAGTTGGTGAAAGCCCGGTGGAACTAGCACGCCCCTCTGCAGCACACTCACAGGAGCGCCTGTCACCCTCTTAGATACTGCTGCCAAGATACAAAATATTTTCCAAATACCCCGCGGCTGGAAACGGGGCACGTTTCCTCTGTGTCTTTATTGCCGGTGCTTTTCGGACAACTCAGCTCCAATTGGAGGACTAGAAATGAATAGTTGTCTCTGTTTTTGAATTGAGTGCTGCCCTTCGTAGGTTCGCATGGGTGCATTATTACATGGGTGAAGGGAACGAGCTTTTGTTTCGTTGCAGCCCTGTAAGTCCCATTGCACATGTTACAAGTTCAGTACCATCACGTGGCAAAGGTCCTGTTAGGTTGCGAGGGACAGGGCCTTCTCAAGTAATTACACTGACATCATTAGCGCCACTGTTCAGATACTTAGGAAAATAACATTTTAAAGTACTTTAAATGAACATTGTTCTGTTCTGTACTTGAATCGGTACAAACACAGCCCTGTGATTTTAGAATGGCTAATTTATTTTTTAATTCTTACTGGCCAAAATAACTATGATGAGTAACAAAATTCTAGCGCCTAAGAATCTAACAAGAGTAATCCAGATTTATATTAGAAGAATAGTGAGCTATTCTTGCCCACGTGAATATCTGAGATGTTCTTTAGTATGTCTCCAGGCCTTACAGTTAAATAAACAAATACCAAAGTGATATAGGGGAAAGAAACTCGCAACCTGCTAGATATCTGGTTTGAGTTCATGTTCTAAAAATCAAAGAATGAATTTGAGGAACAGTGGAGGTTAAGAGCAGAATATATTTATTGAGGGAGAGAAAGCTTCTGTCGGAGAGGTGACAGAAGGGGTCCCGAATGGGTTGCGAAGGAGCCTGCCTTTTCTAGGGATTTTTATTAGAGCCAGTCCACGAGGTGAGGTGGGTCCAAGGTGGAGAAAAATGGGAAAGCACAAGGTGGGCATGAGGTGGGACAAAACTGTGGTCAACCAATTAGATTACAAGCATAATTGCTCAGGTAAAATTGACTAAACCGGCATCAAATAGGGAAGCAAGTCAGGCAAAGGGGCAGGAATGCAGAACAAGGGCCTTTCCTGTCGGGGGCTGGGTTAGTGACTCTGCCTGTTTAGAATATCAGTCCCTGTTCTTTATCCTTAGGAAGCGTTGGGGGCATTTGTTTCGTCTTTCGTCTTGAGCTCTGGCCCGCAGCAGAGGTGCCTGTCTCCCCTCGGCCTCTGCGCTGGCTCCTTCGAGGTGCCTGACTGCCTCTGACATTTCTGTCTAACTTAGTTGCTACAGCAAAAGCAGTTTGACAGCAGAGAACAAGGTACCAGGAAGGGTGAGACCTGGTACATGTTTACACTGCCTGGACTTCACGTGGGCAAGTGTAGTTTACATTTTTCACTTAACTGCTACTTAGTGAATAGTAGTCGAGGTTAACATTGGCTCTTATCAGTGAAGTTGGTCATGTTCATTTCAAAGTTTGAAGGCTGTGATTTGGGGAATACAGATGCTCCCTGAGGTGGGGCGCAGGATGAAGCCCTGCGTCACAGCTGTGTCCCCCGGGCCCGGGGAGTGCGCCCGGGTGAAGGGCCCGCGTCCCTGTCACGGGACACCCCAGCCTGCAGCGACTGCTTTCTTCTTACAGAAAACAAAGAAGCCCAAGGCAGCAGAGTCGGTTTCGAAAGCAGACGCCTTGGAAGGTAAGAGGGGAAGGGGGCCGGTGTTTACCAGTGAGACTGGGGCAGTGTCCTAGGGGGCTCCCACTTGGGCCCGGGTCAGTTTCTGTTTTGCTTCCTTTGTGTTTCACAGACTTGCCAGGGCCATCCAAAATCAAGAACGGCAAGCCCGAGGACGCTGGCCCCGAGGCCCGAGAGAAGAGAGGCGCCCCAGCTCCTTGGAGCACGGGTAAGTCTCTGCACACGGGCCTGGTGGGAAGCTCGCTCCGCAGTCAGGCTGAGCCCGCGAGTTCCCGCGGGGCGGCCAGAAGGGTCGCCGGCTCTGCCTGGAGCCCGCGGGGTGGAGCCCAGCGTGCATGTGCTTTGATCCCCAGTACCGCTGGGGAGAAAGAACGAATCCGCAGTGTTTGCGGGGAGCTCTAGGCCCAACCTGAAAGCTGTCCATCTTTCTGCTCTGCAGCCTCCAGCGGGGTGGCCTCCGGGAAGGCAGGGAAGCCCCCAGGCGGGCCCCAGAAGCGGTCCATCGCGGACAGCGAGGAGTCAGAAACCTACAAGTCCCTCTTCACCACGCACAGCTCCGCCAAGCGCTCCAAGGAGGAGTCGGCGCACTGGGTCACCCACACATCCTACTGCTTCTGAGCCAGCCAGCGCCACCGCCGGCAGTATAAAGTGCCCCGCCAGCCCCGCGCCCGCGTGCTCCCTCCTGCGGGAGCCCTGGGGGTGGGGGGCTGGGCAGCTGGCGGCCAGCATCCCCCTGCCCTGGCCTTCCCAGCTGAAATCTCGATGGCTTCGCCGCAGTCATCACAGTCTCGGGAAGCTGCCTGAGAGGAGTTTTGGATCCCGGCCCGCGGGCACCCTTGGGAGACACCTCGCGCGCACCGGGAGGGGCTGGGCCTTGTCCAGCGCTTGCGGGGAGGGCTGTGTTCTCACTTTGAACAGCCTAGAGATTAGCTGCGCACGTACTGTGATACAAAATAAAGCTGGCTGCCTTTTCTCTCACCTTTCTCCTCTCCCTTCACGCGACATTTTGCTAAAAAAATGGCAGACTTGCTGCGAGCATGGTGATGCGCACCTGTGATCCCAGAACTTAGGAGGGCAAGGCAGGAGGATCCCTGTGAGTTTGAGGCCAGCCTGGGCTACATAGTGAGACCCTGTCTCAAAAACTGCAGCCTTGCACCGACAGTGATAGCAGCGATCCCTTGAAGTCATGGGGATACCACCTCTCCTCCACAGGTTAGAGGGAGCAGAGCATGAAATTGGCACGTTTTCTGTGTCTTTGCGCGCGCTGAAGTCACTCAGCATGGAAGGTTCCCCACGGCCGCCAGCAAGGTTCTGGAGCACCCGGGCCTGGCCTGTAAGGACCTTTCGGGGGTGACCGGAGTTAGCCACCTTACTCCCCTCACCAGCATGCTGCACGGCCCAGTTAAACCACTTTGAGGGTTGTTTCTTTTTTAGTAATCTTTATTTTTTTATTTAGCTAAAATTGTTAGCATAATGCTTGCTTACTTTCCAAGGATTAATCTCCGTGTAGTCAGAGATTACTAACTAGTTTTTACCATCACATTTTAAGCAATTTTTTATTTCCCTTATTTTAGCTTTAATGAATCAATTTTGCCCTGATTTTGTGGTTGTCTTTGGTTTTGGTTTTTTAAGACGGGGTCTCACCATGTAGCCCAGGCTGGCCTGGATCTCACGACGCTCCTCCTGCCTCAGCCTCCCAAGTGCAGGGATCATGGCGTGTACCACCATGCCTGGCTGCACTGACTATCCTGAATACGTCCAGTTGTTCTCACAGACCCAGTCAGCATCCTCAGCCTCAAAACGTGAGGTCTCAGAGCTCCCAGCCCTGAGGTCTGCGATGCCTGCGCAGCCTCTAGGGACTCTGCCACCCCGGCCTACGAGTCTTCCGGAAGCAGGGAGCAGGCGCTGTGCTCGGAGGTCCCTTCCAGCCTTCCCTGTTGAGCAAAGGCATCACCCTGTAAGCAGAGCGCTGTCTGCCGCTGACTGCCCTGCCCAGGGTGCTGGCACGGCACCTGGGTGCATCTGTCACCCCACACGACACCTGGTGCACCCAAGGCAGTGGCTGGGCAAGTGGGAAGCCCGTAGCTGGCCTGGTTCTCAGGCTGCCCTCAAAGCCAGGGGCTCGGTAGCCTCTCTCATGGGCCTCGGCATCACGCGAAGCAGGACGGTGGCGGCCACCCGCTTCACAGGTGGGTTCCTGGGGCTCCTGTGTCCACTCAGCTGCACCAGGCCACGCCTCAGCCCCGTCTCTGACCCGTGCGTGCCCAGGGTCCGTCCCTGGGAGCTGGAGGCTCCTAGAGGGACACTGCCTAGCACCTCCGTCCACCCAGGCCCAGGCTCCTTGGCAGCCTCCAGGGGCCAGGACGGGGTGGGGAGCAGGGCGAGGGTCTCCAGGGCAGTCTGTGTCTCTCTCCACCGTCCTGGACTTCTAAGGCGTGAAATCAGCCTCCCCGCAGGGGCTGCCCAGTGAGTCCCTCCACTCCAGACGTGGCTCCACGGCCTTCCCAGAGTGCCCTGCTTTCCCTTGGCCCCATTCATTGAGAAGGAGCCAGACGTTTGAACACTTGCAGGAAGAAAAGGGATTCCTGTTGTCAGACACAGGAATATTTCCCAATAATAAAAAGCAGGTGTGACACACACACAAGCAGCTCTGCTGTGGGTCCTTTAAATCAAAATCAAGTCTGTTCCTGGTTCGGCGTCAGCCTGTGCCACCCGGCGGCAGGTGCCACGCTGACACCAGAGCTTCATCCTCGGAGCTTCAGGCACTGATGGGGAGGGGCCGGGGCGGTGTCCTGCCGAGGACAGACCGCCAGATGGGACACAGGACATCCCTGGCCCACAGCCGTAGACACCAGGGCCAGCTGCCCCGGAAGTGGGCCCTTCCAGGAGTGCCCTCGTGGTGGACGGGTCCGTGTGTGATGTTAGGCTTCTGATCACCCCCGAGCACCTGTGTCTCCTCGTCCTGGGCACGCGGCCTCTGGTGTAGGCGCCACCACCCCTGGCGACAGCCGTGTCCCCGCAGCAGGAGTGCAAGGGGCCCCTGTGGGTCTCACAGGCTCTCAGAGCCTCTTCATCGATACCTGAAGCTCAGCACAGTGAAGGAGCTGCAGAAGGTCCCCCAGTCCGAGCGGCGCTTTAGAACGGGCGCTGCACGGTGAGCCCCAAGCAGCATTTCCTGTTGCGTGTCATTTCTGCAGAGTGGCACTTTCAGACACACTGGTAAGTCTGGGTTAATCCCTGGCTTGGGCTGAGCTGTCACACAGGGTGTGTCTCACCCTGGGGCCGTCGTGGCAGCCTGGGTGTCACTGCATTGCACCCAGCTGACACCTCAGGGTCTCAGCTTCTCCTTAGCGCTGTCCTTGTCATCATGGACTTAGTTATGTAGCCGTACCGGGGAGCGAGCCCAGGCCTTCACACGGAGCTAAATCCTCAGCCCTTTTTAAGCCCAGTGAGACTGGGTCTCTGCCTCGGCAGCTCGCCCAGCCGAGAGTCCCTCGGTTCCCCTGGGGCTGGCCCAGCCGTGAGGGGGGTGACATGATAGACAGCGGAAGCCCGGTGCTTCTGGAACATCTGTGTGTTGTTCACACACAGGAAGGTAAAGCTGAGGTTTTTAAGGTTCTCCTTGACACTGAGTTGTTATTTTGGGGGACGGCGCGGGCCACATGGGATGATCATGGGCTTCGAGTTGGCAGCAGTGGGCCGACACCTGTCCTGCTGGACGCAGCCCCACGGGCGATCTTTTGTCCCCCGCCCCCCACAATGTCTGGGTCCAGCATGATGAGAACAAGCCAGCAGCGCCTCCCGCAAAGCGTCAGCACTGGCGAGGAGCCGCCTTTCCACCTGGCTTCCTGACTTCCTGCTACACACCTCTCCACCTCCCTTGCGGTCCTGCCACCACTGCCCTCAAGACTGTCCCGCTCCAAGGCATCACAATGGCCACAGCCCCCCAGGCTCGGAGCTCTATGACATCACCAGTAGCCAGTGCCCTGAAGAGGACAGAGTCACCATGCACGCACACTGCTCACCATGCGGGTGCTAAGTGGGCTGCTGTTCTTGTCTCTGTACCTCTCCTACGGAGATGCCTTCATATTCTCTCTGAGGGAGAAAGCCAAGGAGCCCCCGGAGAAGGTGCCCTGTGGGGCGCACTCCCGGGTTAGACCCAACTTCCCCATGTATGCGCACGGCTGGCTGGCGAACAAGTGGCTCTGGCTCTTCTTCGTTATTGTGCTGTACATGATCCTGAAGTTTCGGGGGCACAGCGGGAAGACTAAGGCCAAGGTAAGGCTAGCTCTTTCCCTTCCCTTGTCTCTCCTTTTTCTGTCATAGTGCTGGGATTCACCCTGGGGCCTTCACACTGACTGAAGAAGTACCGTCTCGCTAAGTCTTCAAACCCGCAGAAGTTGGAAGAGCGGGGACCCCCTGTTACTGGCACAGTGTTTCCTGTCATGTGAAATTCTTGGATTTGAGGCTAGATTCAAGAACTTAGGGTGTGTTTGAGGTCAAAACTGTTCACAGAGCCAAAGTCGCTGTCCCTTGACTTTTAAAATTTCACTCTGACTTAATATAAATTCCTGAACTTATGGAAATGTTATCAGTGTCCAAGTAAAAGAAATAGAAAGCCTGTACCACGGGACAAAGGTGTAAAGCAGTAACTGCTGGTCCCCAGAGGAACTCCACAGCCCTTGTAGGTAGGAGGAGAAGGGGCAAGGGATATGGCAGTGGGTTCTCCTCTAGACAGATCTAGCACTTCATTACACGGTGTCCAGAGCCGCCAGAGCAGGAACCAGCAAACCTCCCCCCTTAAAGGGCCGGATGGTAAATAATATCAGCAGCACGGGCCACGTGGCCTGTGTGGCAGCTACTCCTAGCTCTGCCACTGTAGCCTGAAAGCAGCCATAGGTCATATGCAAATAAGTGCACGTGACTGTGTTCCAATAAAACTTTATTTTATTGGAACTGTGCTCCAGTAAAGCAGGTGTGGACCAGATTTTGCCAGTTTGCCAACCCCTGGACAAAAGCAATGATAGAAACTTAGGTGAACTCATCTTTCTCAGGACTGTGTCAAATCCAGCAAGGTCAATGGAATTATTCACCCTGAATATCTTTTTTGACAGGAGCAGAATCTTTCTGGGCTTCGAGGCAGTCCATTTCGCTCTCCACTTAAGAAAAAACAACATGGCTGCTCAAGCAAAAACCATGCGTTTACTACCTTAACCAGCTTTGAGAAGGACCTTGTGCAATTTCTGTCCAAAGTACGGAATCTTAAAGCAGTCTTGACAACTGGCAATAACACCCGGGTGCACAGCCCAGAGCTTCCCGTAGATCCGCAGAACTGTGTCACGATATATGAAGTATGGGGAGAAATGCCTGAATGAATGGATTTGTGTGTCGGCAGGAGAGAAGACGTTGGGTGTCGACAGACAATATCCAAACTAATAAAACTGTTCTGAAGAAAGGATCCCCGCATGTGAGGTCTGTCTCCTGCCACTTTAACTAGAAGAGGAAATGACTGAGACCGTAGCGCAGCCAGAGCACCGACGGGTCTGTCTATCTTTGCCTCTCTTGCTTTCTCAAGAGCTGCGGGCGGGAAGACGGGGTCTGACGGTGACATAGTAGCCACGGTGACATTCCTGACCGTGACGCAGTGGTCCCTGGGGATGGTGGGGCTGTGAAAACCTGCAGGGAAGATGCTCAGAGCGTGTTCCTGGATGTCTCTGTGACCTTCTTTATAGTATTTGATTTGTGCAAAATGGGGAACAGAGTCCTAATAACTTAAGAATTACAAAGGACAGCTTTATGAATTTAAAATGACTCAAGCTAGGCATGGTGGTGCAGGCCTGCAACCCTGGCACCTGGGAGGCAGAGGCAGGAAGATCCCAGTGAGTTCCAGGCCAGCCTGAGCTACATAGCAAGACCCTGTCTCAAAATTTAAATAGCTGGGCATGGTGGCGCACACCCCTATTCCCAGCACTTGGGAGGATTGCTGTGAGCTGGAGGCCAGCCTGGGCTACATAGTTCAAGGCTAGCCTGAACTACACAGCATGACCCTGTCTCAATCAATAAAATTTTACAAATGAAAAGATTTTATTAGAAAGAATGTGTTCTTCCCACCAGAAAATTCCCTTTATTTATTCCATCTTATGAATTCCAGATAGTAACTATTTCTTTTACCCAACTAACACTTATGTCTACAGCGAATTAATGAAACAGAAAGAGCCTCACACATTCTGTGTCTTAGGGGTTTGGGATAGAGATGAGCTATCCAGGGATTCCCAAAGTAGTTCATGGGTTCCTCATAATACGGCTATCTTGACACGGGGAATGGCTAACTCTACTTACCCTAGTCCACGGAACTCATTTATCCACCTGAGGCCCGTTTTCTGCCATCGGGGCCACCCCGAGGATTTTGTGGAGCTGTGCAGGCCTGAGTTCAGCTGGGGTCCAGGGACACCGCTGGGTGTGCCTGGTGGGGGCATCCGGAGCTCCGCCCCACCCTGCTGCTTGCCAGCCACAGCGTGTTCATTCCTGGTGTTTAAGCAAAGCCGAGACGGGAGCTGCCTGTCTCTTCCTCTCTCGTCCAGGTCACAAATCTGTGATCTCAGTGTGGGGCTGGTGTCAAGATTTTTTCCCCATTTTTCCAGGGCACTTAGACCAGCGCTTGACAAACGTCAGCTCATGGGCCAAAATCGGCCCACTTGTCCATATGGCGTGGCCCGTGGTGAGGCCCGTGGTGTGGTGTTTATTTTAAATGCCTGAAAAAATCAAAAGATGCATAAAATTTTGACACTTGTCATTTAAATTCCAGTGTCCACTGCACGTGTATCCTCCATGGCTCTTCTGTGCTGCCATGGCGAGACGAAGGAATGGGACTGGAAGTGGGGTGGCAGTGCTGCAGAAAAACCAATATCTTCTTTTGTGTTTGTTCTGGTACCGGGAATCAAACTCACGACCTTGCGCTTGCCAGGCAGGCTCCATGCCACTGAGCTAAATCCCCGGCCCCAAGAAACCCATATCAAACCAAATGGAAGACTCTGCAAGGAGGAGTTAGAAGGCAACTTCGATTACGCTAGCGGGCTGGGGAGGCCAGAGGCTCAAATCACCAGCCCAGAGTCAGGTTGGAGCTCAGTTTAAATAGGGTTTGCGAGCGAGAAGTACGAAGCTGACAGCAGGTTATTCCATGATCGGTTACCTGGCATACAAGGATCATGTCATAGATTGTCAGGTCCTGGACTGGGCCAGTCTGTCCCGGACATGAAGTCCTTGAAGCAAGTTGGAAACAAAATATATTTTTCTAACTAAAGGAAACGCAAGCTGGACACAGTCAAGTTGGCCCAGCGCGTTATCAAAGAGAAGCAGACAGTCAGGGCGGGCTCCAGGGGACAGGCAGCAGGAGCACAGCCACAGGCTGTGCACTGATCTCTAGCTCGGCTGTAACGCGCCTACAAGTCCGCTGTTCTGCGCGCGAGCCCTTCAGCGGGAGGCCTGCCGGATCTGCCCGCCTCGCCGGGCAACCTGGGGCCGCGGGCCCTTCCCGGCCCCGTCGCGCCGTGTCGGGTGCCCCCTGGTGGCCCCGAGGAACGCAGCCAGAGTCCCGCGAGCCGAGGCGGCCCAGGCGAAACCGCGAGGGCGAGCGGAGCGGTCCCGGCCAGCGCTCGGGGACACGGCTCTGTCGCCGTCCTCTGCGGGGAGGCGGTCCTCGG